TGCAGAGGATGTTTCGTCCTATTTTCCTTTGTTTCAATGCATCCTTATTTTTTAACCTTTATGTAGCTGGGATATCCAGAGTTTAGAATGCCTTTTAATTTCTGTGCATCTGTTAGTCTCTTGTGTCTTGAGCAGCAAAGTTCAAGATATGATTCTGTCATGTGAAAGGTGGAAATGTTTGTTTTGTTGAATGTCTGACCTTTTAATGTCACTGGATTGCAGGTGTTCGGTAGGAGTGAATGGGAAAATTTGGTTGATCTTTCTTGTGATGTCTTTTTTTCCATGTGCTTTTTTTTTCTTCTCCAAACTGGATTCTCTTTTTTTTAATGTTTCCTAATTTGGGTACTTTGTTGTATTTCTTAATACATTTTTTTCTTTTTCTGAATTCATTCCTGTAAAGACATTATCTGGAATTGACTTTGTCAGTCTTAGTGTCTCTTATTTAATTTTTCATCCATCCCATTCCCTTGTTTTCTATTGAGACTCTTTGTAGACTTTGAGGTCTTCCTCTAATATTTTTTGGGTTGGTCTATGTGCACTGCATATGATTATAACTCAAAAATCGATTATCTTTTAATTAAATCTTCTGAAGCATGTTTCTGCCAATCCTTCAAATACCAAAACAAATCTTTAGGGGAATTCCTCCCCCCCCCCCACCTTCCCCAGTGGTATGGAGTGAATGTATGTAATGTTCACCTCCCTATGTACATTTATGATCTTGGCTTTCTGAATTTTTTTTTAATACAGGCATGAAATTACAATATAATTTTGGGCTTGTTTTATCCAAAATAAATATAAATTGGAGCTGTTTGTATCAAAACCTTTGTTATTAACTGGTTGTTGTTCAGGGTACATGGTGAAAAACTAGCTAGGAAGACAGCAGAGATGTTACTTTGACATCAAGTGGTTATTCAGTTCTTTTTTTTTTACCTTTTACTGGGTCTGGCTGGGATGGAGTTAAATTTCTTGAAAGAAGCCTGTACAGTGCTGTGGCTAAAACAGTCTTGATAACACACTGGTGTTTTGGTTGTTGCTGAACAATGTTTGCACAATCTCAAGGTTTTCTTCTCCCCCCCATTTTATTGAGTAGCCATGGGGTGGACAAGAGATTGGGAGGGCACAAAGCTGTTCTTTGAATTGCCTCTGTTAAATTTTTCTGGCATAGTCTTGGATTGAGAAGCCCAGAACTGTTAAATTGAAGTCTTCTAAAAATGTCGGACCTTGTTTCTTGTAGTTTCTTGCCCTTTAAATGTTGTGGGTTCTTTTTCATGTTCTCCCATAAAGTGAAATCTACTGAGTTTAAAAAATACAAGAAAATTCTCTGGGTTTATACTTTGTTTTTGTGGTAAAGGATGCTGATGGCACAAATTTTCTATACTTTGCTTTCAGTTAGTTCACATGGAAGGCAGTTTCAGTATTAATGGATAGATGTTAACAGCAGAAAAAGGCAAATAGTGATATAGCTTCCCCATTTCCTTTCAAATGCCGTGTTACTTCTTTCTTAAAGCTGTACAGAAATGCATGAAGCATCTTTGGTCTGGATCTTGAGCTTATCAAGACCTCTTATCATCTTTCTCCTGAAACAAAACAGTGGATGTCCTGAACATAGGCCTACCACCACACTTGTGTGTCAACATGTTAGTCTTAAGTCTAGAAAGTGGTACTAGCCAGGGAAGGATGTTCCATCTGAACTACCGCAAACATTTTGCTTTTCAGTCTTCTTTAGAATCAGGGTAATAGATAATGTTGTCCACACTAGAATTGCTTGAAGAAAATTCTCCAGATCATGATACAGCAGTCAGGTATGTTTTCCTCCTTACTGCAAGGCTGCCATTGATTTGTTTTTCAAATTGTGTGTATTTTCACAGCTGTCTGCATTGCAATGAGATGGGATTACTACAGTTCTAGAACTACCCACTAAGGAGTTTTAGTGTACACCCATCCATCTGCTTAAGAGTGAAAAGCTTGTTATGTTGCCCCTAACCTGTTTTCTAACTTACTTTTGCTGATGTTTGTGACTACATCAGAACACTTTGAAGAGCCCTGTATTTAGGGCAGCATTGATACAGCAGTTGTGAATATTGATGGAGTATAAGGAAGATCATGGAATCACTGAGTGGTTTGTGTTGGAAGAGACCTAGTTCAACCTCCTGCCATGAGAAAAAACGCTTTCCACTAGACCAGATTGCTCAGGGCTCCATCCAGCCTGGCCTTGAACACTGCCAGGGATGGAGCATCTCTGCACAGCTTCTCTGCACAGCCTGTTCCAGTGCCTCACCACCCTCACAGTAATGAATTTCTTCCTAATATCAAATTTAAATCTACCTTTCTTCAACTTGAAGCCATTTCTCCTTCTCCTATCACTGCATGCCCTTGTGAAAACTCCCTCTCCAGCCTTCTTGGAAGCCCCCTTTCAGTGCCTGAAGGTGCTATAAGGTCTCTGTGAAGCCGCCTCTTTGGGCTAAACCAGCCCAGCTCTCTCAGCCTATCCTCATGGGAGAAGTGCTTCAGCTCTGTGATAAGCTTTGAATGGGTCCAGAGGAGAGGCACTGAACATCTTCCTTGTGTTGGGGGCCCCAAAGCTGGATGCAGCTGCAGTTCAGGTGTGGTCTCATGAGAGCAGAATGGGACAATTGCCTCCCTCAATATGCTGGCTAGGCTGCTTTTGATGCCATGGTATGATTGCTTCTCGGTTGTGAGCACGTGAGGTGCAGGAAAACCTTCTTGGATCAGATATTTACTCCTGTCAAGCCGCTGGGGAGATCACAGAATTATTTAGGCTGGAAAAGACCTACAAGATCATCAAGTCCAATCTTTAACCCAGCACTGCAAAGCTAGCCACTAAACCATATCCTTGAGTGCCACTTTGCATGTCTTTAATATCCCCAGGGATGTTAACTCCATCCCCAGAAGGTAACTCCACAGCTTCCATAGATAACCTGTTCCAATTATTGACAACCCTTTCAATGAAAAATTTTTCTTAATATTCTATCTAAATGTGCTCTGGTGCAACTTGAGGCAATTTCCTCTCTTCCTGTCACTTTTTACCTGGGAGAAGAGGCTGACACCCACCTGGCCACAGCCTCCTTTCAGGTAGCTACAGAGAGCAGTGAGGTCTCCCCTGAGCCCCCTTTTCAATACCCCGAGCTCCCTCAGCCACCCCTTGTAAGATTTACTCTCTAGACCTTTCAGCACCTCTGTTGCCCTTCTCTGGGCTTGCTCAGGCTCCTCAATGTCTTTCCAGTATTGTAGTTTAATTTCTTGATTGCCATATAGGAAGCTTGTGATGGGAAGCTGCTTTAAGTGAACTCAGCACTGTGCTTTTGGAGTCCAGTCAGGCCCTGATCTCTGTAGGTACACTGGGTGAGGGTCTGGTCTTCAGGAGCAGAAGCCTTTTGGTAGGGTGTATTGGAAAACAGAAGTAACCTCATGCAAGTGAGTCTGTTTGTGATTGCAAGTGTGTGCAACAGTATAGCTAATGATGTTAAATAAGAAAGGTGTTGGTTGGACTTCATGTATGTCTCAAAAGCCTAATTTGATTGTTTATTTTCTAAATAATAGTAGTTTCTTAGTCTTGTCAAAAGCTTAAAGGCTGAGATCTTCCTCCTGCTAAATATAGTAGAGAGACAGAGTGCTGGAACCTGTGGGCCAAACATATTGCATGTGTTAATTTGGTGTTTTACAGTGATATTACTGATCTCCCTCTGCCTTATGTTGCATTGTTTATTTTGCTTGATTGACGTTCTGTTTTATCAGGATGAAGTGAATTATTTATATGCTTGTCCACATATATAGATGTGATTACACTGTAATATTAATAGAAGAAAAAGTGATTAATTTTGCAGCCACAGATTGTTTTGACTTCATTGCTTTGAGAACATGTGAAGCATAAATCACATCTTGTTACAAATTAGTGTTCAAGACTGTTTGTATCTGAAACATTGGCACTGATTAGAAAAGAACTTCCTTCTGTATGTCGAGAAATTCCATGCTAGCTTAAAAATTCCTTTATTTAAAAACAGCCTAGTAGTTCTGTGTTTCTAGTAACCATCCTAGTCACATTCTCTTTCCCTGCAATTCACATAAAAATGGAAGTTGCATGTTTCTTGATATCTTGTTCTGAGTTGAGGGCTATATATGAACTGAAATCATACTCTGCTGCTCAGTTCTGTTATCAAGTATCTTGTTTGGCTTATAAATATGTTTCTTAAGTGTAAGATTTTTCATGACATGGGAGAAATACCATAAACTCTTCAGGTTTTGATGCATAGCAGGTAATTACACAAATTTGGGAATGTTTTGAATGAGAGCAAATGCTAAAGGATTATTTGATTTGGTATGTTTTAGAGTTATTGGTTGTATATACAGAATATAATCAGTGGTATATTGAGAGTAAACTTGCACTCTGTAATTCAGTTGTAGTCCACTAATAGTTCAATTATTAGTTCATTGTATTTCAGTGATCATTGAATCTTAATTGACTTAATGTTCTGCTTTTTATTCTTTAGCGCTGCAAGCTGATCGACTAAGAACATGGAATATAATATGGATGCAGTTGCTTGAACATCATTTCTTCCAAAGCTTGTACTCTGCAGATTGGTAGCCTGAATCATTGATAAGAAATTATACACAGGACTAATACCAAGGAAACATTCAGTCTGTTGATGTTGTGTTTAATGAAAATGATGCAGAGTTGCTTCATCTGAAATGCAGTTGAAAAAAATGAGGGAAATTTTACCAAGATTGTACTCTGGCCAAATTAATGATAAAAATAATTCTTTAACTACATCCCCAAAGCAATCTGATGATAAAATAAATCTATCAAAAGGGGCAGATGACCAGAACTGCTGTTACCAAGGAACTGAGGCTGAGAACAGTAAGTTGTCACTGATAAGCTGTATAAAGTGCAGAAATGTTCAGAAAATTTCAGTGCAAGATATGGAGAAGCATAAGAAGCTTGAGTGGACTGAAGACAGAAATTTCATCTGCAAGAAGTGCAGTCATATTGAACCACCAGCTTTCGATTTTGTTCCTGAAGGTGCCAATGCTGCAGACTATGAAAAACTTGAAAGAAAAATCCCAAGTAAAACCCAGAAAATGTTTAAAGTAAAAAATTTTCTGCCAGGCAAATACTACTGTGATAAATGCAGATTTTCAACAAAGGATCCTTTACAGTATAAAAAGCACGTAGGGCAACATGAAGAAATTAAATTTCTTTGTTCCCACTGTAGTTATGTATCCTACACCAAAGGAGAATTCCAGAGACATTTGGTGAAGCACACTGGAACCTTTCCATATCAGTGTGAGTACTGTGAATATGGTGCTGTTAGACATGACTATATAGTTAAACATACGAGAAGAGTACATGAAACACCCAGAAAACGCCTGTCAAGTACTCTCATGAACCACAAGCAAAAGAAGCAGAGTCAAAGCACTTTATGTAAAAAGCAGAAATACAATAAAATTCCTTTCCAAAATGAACTTTCAAATTTGTCTTCAAATATGGTTTGTGAGATTCCAAGTAAAGCAACTAAAACAGTCTGCTCATCTCAAAATGTAGAATGTAGCATAAACACATCATCCGTCCAGGATGAGACAATATTGGAGCCATCTGAACTGAGTGTATGTGAGAATCAGAGTGTGGAGGTTGAGGTTTATTCTCCAAAAACAGAGCCTTTACAACCTGGGATGCCTTTAACAGTAATTGCACCATCTGAACTTGTAGTTCCTTCCAATTGTTTAGCTCAGATAGTAGAGCTAAAAATAGTGAATGGAGCACAACAGCTGGTTCTTAAACTAATTCCTATGAAAGAAGCAACTTACAAATCTGTGAACTGTGCAGAAGAGGAACTTGAGAATCAAAGTATAGAACGATCTGAAGAAGTAAAGAAAACATCTTCTGTCTGTCAGAATGAGTTACTAACTATGGAAGTGAATGTAAACAAATTATCCAGTGTTAGTAACCAGCTTAATTTGGATAGTACACATGACAAGAATTCTGAATGTTTTTGTTCCTCTGATTCTCAGCTCTCAGGCTATAGCTCTATATCTGTACAGAGGGAAGATACATCAAAATTATGCTTTCATTTGGTGAAAGGTATTGATGTCCATTCAGGTGTTATAGAACTTTGTTCTCAATCTCTGGTGAAGAACAGTGCTGAAAAAAAAAGTGATCTTAAATCCTCGAGGGGGAAAGTAGATGGAAAAAATAACTTGCATCGTGATCTGTACTGTTATGAAGAAGGCAAAGATACATACCGTCCAAAATACACTTCCGTTTCTGAAGGTAAAAATTCCAAGATTGTTTCAGTAGAAGCTGCTCAGGAGGGCAAACATTTTTCTGCTGTCCATAAAGAAAAGGATACATTGTCTGTGAAGAGGGTTGACAGAGAACATAGGAATCTACCAGTCAGCTCTACTGAAGCACATATGGCTGGAAAGGGTTTTGATAAAAAATTTATTGCATCCTCTGAAGGAGGGAAAAACTTCCACATTACTAAAACTGCAGCTTTTGAGGATATAACTTGTGGCTTGAGCAAAGTAAAGAGAACTGAAACCATAAGCCAAAAGAGTAGTCATCTTCTGGAATCACTTGAACTACAGAAGATGGAAAATAAAGGCAGTCCTTTTGAAGGACCTGTTATTTCATCTGTATTTTCTCTTAGCTCTGGGACTGAAAATGTTCCAGAGGATGTCAGATGGGATGACACAATACGCAGGAAGAAATCAGCAACATTGCTGTGTAGAAAGATTGCGCAGCTCATGTCTGCTGCTGAACCTAACATGAAATCCGTGCCCTTGAGAAGTCAGGCTTCTAGTAAAAAGTTACTTTTGCCTCAAGAAAGTTCAGGAAGCTGTGAGGGAGCTGTTTGTGCCACTGAAGTGGAACAGCCTGCAACTTTGTCTGAAGCACGTGGTGGAAGAAGTGTGATGAGTGAAGAACACAGTGAAGATCAGCTCTTTACATTTGCAAGAACTTCTAAAAACAGGGTAACTAAAAATTCCCATGTTGCTACCCCGGTGTTCATCCCTAAAGGGACAATGCTGAGAGTGCTGAATGCTACCAGCAGTCAAAGCTCATGTGGAATAGAACACAGGGGTGAAACATCAGCTCCTGTGCATCACAATGAAATGTTCCTGCCTCGCCCAGTCCCCATCAGTGTTTCTGAGGCACTCAGCAGTAATTTCCCATGTTTGCCTAATCAGAGTGAACCAAGTGCTGAGTCCCAAACTATATCACTCAGGCAAAGACCAAAGCGAGAGGCAAGTGCTAAAAATAACAGCAAGCAAACTAGTGTGGCGTTTCAGAAAGGCAGTGATGTGAGCAAGCAAAGCAAGCCCTATTCAAAAAGTCCCAAAAATAAGGCAAGACAAACAAGATTCAGAGAACTTCCTAAGAGGAAAACAAGAGCTCAGTCAGAAACCACTTCAAGTTCTGATATGTCATACCTGTTGACAGCAAGGCGTCTTCGACTTCTTCCTCTGAAAACGAATCAGTTGATAAAATGCCCTCGTCGTAATCAGCCAGTTGTGGTACTAAACCATCCTGATGTTGATTCACCAGAGATAATTAATGTCATGAAGACTATCAACAAGTATAAAGGTCAAGTCCTGAAAGTAGTTCTGTCAGAAAGGACAAGTAGTTGTCTTGGTGTCAAACGTTATCGAAAGCGTCTTACTCTTCAGGATGGTGAGACAGGAAACCAAGCAAAAAAGCGGAGTATGCTAAAAATGAAGCTAAAAAAGACCCACAAAAACAACTATCAAGTGGTGGAAACTTCACCAGCTGAAGCACTTAGGTGTCTCTTTAAGTGTTGGTTTTGTGGGAGAGTATATATGGACCAAGAAGAATGGATAAGTCATGGACAGAGACACTTAATAGAGGCAACCAAGGGCTGGGATGTTCTTTCTCTTCAAGCAAGAAAACGTTAAGTGAGAGCCTAGGGAAGGTTTCCCTTCTTGCTTTTAATGAGTGACACTAACTTGCCTAAAATGGAAGATGGAAATAACTGCTTTATTTTGCCAAAAGTCCTCTGCTATTAGCAAAGTGAAGAAGAGAGTAGAGGTACAGAGAGATAGAGAAGCTGATAGGGAGGATTAAGCACCACTTTGCACTCTTGTGATTGAAATTTGTATTGGAGACCAGCTTCATCTGTTCCATAGGAAAAATTTGAAGAAGATTTGCTATGCAAACATCTTTCTAGTTACCTTAGGATACTATGCTGTACGTGGTTTGTGCTAGGTCTGTATGGATTAAAATCTTAGATGATGAGATCTTTGTAAATTTAACAGGATTAGTTTGCTTTATTACAGCATGGTGTTTCAAAGATCGAGCACATCTGTATGGAAATGCACTTTTGGTCCTCCATGGACAGCAAGTGTAAGTCATAGGTTTTAGTGGCAAATTAAGCATTACACATAAAAAGTAAAATTTAAATGCAAGTGCTGTGTTTCAGTGGAACAAAAACACTTCTGCTGACTTCAGAGGAGGTACAAGGGTGTAAATGAAAAAATCTATGGAATCAGTTACTCCTGCTAGGTCAGATAGCACAAAAAATTTACTTTTGTTTAGTACTGAGTCTTTACCTAGACTGTGTTGTGTAGATGAGAGGGAGCAGAACACCAGGAGGATTATGTGCCATCAAGCCAGAGATACCTTCAGGCTTGGGCTGATAGTGGAAAGCACTTCTCTAAATGGCCTCAAGGCTGTTCTAAAATAGTATTAGCCAGACATAAACTCTGTACCACCTTGTGTGTGATAGAAGCATTTACAGACTCAGTATTTGATTAGAACTCTAGTTGGTGAGCTGATTTACTAGGCAGCTTGTTGAAGACTTTTCAAACTGAAAAGCCACGTTGCACAGCTTTTACATGACAGTGTTGAACCAGATTTTCAGTGCAATCTTTCATCGTATTTAAGAATTTAGATGTTGTTACAATTTATTTTTTGTAGGCCTCAAATTCATACAAGCATGTGCCTAGTTACAGATTATGTCTGATGCGTACTGACTTCAGTGCAGTGTAAAACATTGCTCAGTTGCTTAAACACTTCTCTAAATCAGGGCCAAATGACAGCTTTTTAGTAAAAAAGAGGGATAGATGACACTGAAGTTACTGTTTCTGTATGTGAGCTGTGGATGTTTCTCTTCATCTTGTCAATTTTAAATCATTTTAGAATCATATAGAATGAAGTATATTGAAGCACATATAACAATTAAAATAATGTGTTACAGTTTTAAAAATATGAAAATCGATACTGACTCTAATGCTGGATGTGTGTTCTATGTTTGAACTGGGACTTCTCTGGTAAACTGGTAGTCCCTAAATCTTTTCACTGATGGTGCATTTTTGTAAACAGTTTATCTGGGAATATTTTTTTATATACTCCAGCAGATTATACATTGTTTTGATAAAATATTTATCATATCTACATTAGAATGTAAATATTTTAAAACTACATCTGACTGAGGTTTACTTTCAAAACCACTTATTGCTTTCCCATAATTTTGCAATACAGTGTTAAAATCCTTCCGATAGCTGGTGCTTTAAGTCAGATCTTTTCATCGTGTACACATGGAAAATTTTTGTATCATTTGTATCAGACTAAACTATTCCACAGAACAAACTTTGTTTTTCCTGTTTTGTCAATAATAAGGAAATGACAGTTCTCATTTTGTATTCAAATGGAATTATATTTTTTTAGATGGGTACACTTGAGGGTTTTTTTCCCCACTTCATACGCTTTGATGCCAAACCTAACAGTGCTATTTGCACTTTCAGTGGTGAAAACAGTTGCGATTTTAAAATTATAGCATAACATATAAAATGAATACTGAAATGGTTAACACAAAAAACCCCATGGTTAGCATTCCTCTTTTGTTTTAATTCCTTCAATACAGGTTACTGGTTGAATTAACTTTGTTTCTGTAGAAGCTACCAAATAAATAGTTTTGAATTTGCTTTGTAAGAGTTGTCACTGGCAAAATCAGAACATTGCTCATGAAAGCTGTACTGGGGGAAATGGAGAAAGTGTTGCTGCTCAGCTTTGTGGATTCTGGGTGGTTTAAGTACACTAGTAATGCTTGTCTTTTGTAAGCAAGTTTACTTTAGTAGACATCTGCAAAGCTCTGTACGTCACTGCCATAATCTGTTATCTAAATTGTTAAACCTTGGGGTTTTTATGGTTTTTAATTTAGATATTTCTTTTGTTTCAACATGAAAACCTTTTGTAAGTTAAATTGTATTGTGGTTATGAAATTCTTAAAGCAGATTATGTCATGCTTTTTGTTATGAACTCTGCTAAACTCCATTTTAGCAGCTTCTGTTTTTTTACTTTTATTAGATAAAAATATGTCAGAATAATTTCCTTCAAGTTTAACAGTGTCATCAGTTTGAGAGAAATAATTTACAGTGGATGTTTTCTTCCCTTTTGACTCAGCAATGAGAAATAAAATGATTCAAAGAAAATAATAATCAACTGCTGAATTTTTTTAGAGCTAGTTTGTACCACTACATATTATGTCATAAATTGGGTTGGAATGTTGTGGTTTTGGGCTTGAGTGGTTTTGTTCTTCTTGTTCCTATTCTAAAAGGATAGAGTAACTGAGGTTCTAAAGTAACTGGGTTATTGTACTATACCTTTTTTGGTATATTACAGTAACCTAGTCAAACATCCAGTGTGGTTAGGCAGGTTATCAATGCTGTACAGAAAAATCCCTTCGTGTACATATGGAAATGTAGTTTGCCTTCATATACATACAGAATTTAGGTAGGCTTCCAAAACTCAAAATTGTATGAATAAATATTTCTGTATTTTTTTCTGGAAAAATAATCACATTCTCATGTTCTTTGCTCATACATACTAAAGTATGTTTTCTTGCTGGGTTTGAAGTACATCTACTCTTTCTACTTAAGATTTTTATCTCTTCATTTGCATATGGTATGAATTCAAAGTGACTGTTTGCATAATGGTCCTACCATGTAAGTGTTTGAAGGCTCAGGTATGGCATACAAGTATCTACTACTTAAGTTGGAGAGTAAGTGCTCATTGAATAATAGAATTTACATAATTACAGCTAGCTTTAAAATCTCCAGTGCCTGTAAGCATCAACTGACACTAACTTCAGTGGCAGCTGAGCGCAGCTTGTTGTTGAGCAAACATATGCACACCACATGAAATTGTTAGACAGTGAGAACTGTGACACACAGTGTTTCATGTGTATTTTTAAAAGCAAGAAGATTTATTTAATGACTGTGGTATACTTTATTAGGTTTTGCTACTTAGCAGAGTTTAAGTGACATTTAGGTAAGCAGGGGCAAGTTTCATTTTCATCTGAACATAAGAAGATAGAGTGCAAGGTAAGCAAATTGCTCAGTCATTGTCAAGATATCAGGAGTCGGTCTCCACGCCTTCCTGTGAATTAATATGTCGACATATTCTTTACTTGTACCCTCAAAGTGAAAGTGCAACAAACAAAAAATGGAGTAGATCTGTAGAACGCTTCATTATATTATGGGGAGCTCCTTGCTCAAGAGGCGAATCTGATTTTTGAGACGTTTCAAGAAGTGTTCTATTTATATCTGTACAGATGAATCAGCGACAATGAGGCAGCAAAGGTCAGCCTGCCTTGAATGGGTGTGTGAGGTAGCATTGTCCATATCAGCCTGCCTTGAATGGATGTGTGAGGTAGCATTGTTCTCTGTGGTTTCCTGACTGATCCTTTCCGTCAATGAGCGTTATGGGAACGGATCTGTAGAAGTCAATGATCTCTTCCACGGAATTAAATTTCTGTGGGGGGAAAGATAGTAATCAGTGACTGAAAGTGAAGTTGCTAGATGGTTTAATCTATAACAGTAAAAGACTTGCAAATGATAATATTAAAATAGGTAACATTTTGCATGGAATTATGATTAGATGAAAGCCATTCTAAAAGGAAAAGCACCATATTTTGATCCTCATATTTCTTTTTTGTGTCTCTGTCATATGCAGGACAAAGCAACTAGCTCCTTAGGGAAAGGAAACATTTCTAAGCCCTGGTAGTGCAGTATCACATATAAAAGGTTGTGATGGCAGATGTGAGAATAGATATTGAAATGATGAAGCAACTATAAATTGTTACTAGTTTTTTTTCCTGCCCAAATTACACTTAATTAGCAGTACATGATATTTTACACTGCAAGTTTCAATGTACCTTATTAAATTACACTTTGTTTTCCCATTCAGTTTATTGAGACAGTTGCTATAGAATCCCTTTGAAGTATGGAGCAAGAAGCATCATGTTCTCTCATGCTCAAATAATGACATTCTCCAGGCAACTCCTCAAGTGATAAAGGTCTGGTTCAAGGTTGCTGACCTGATCAAACAGCAAGAGAAAGCTACACAAGGTGTTTATTCTCATCTGCCCTAGTGGAAGAATCCCATTCCAATGATTAGCAGTCCTTCAGTTTGAGTTCTGTTCCCTGTGTGTACCTTCTAAGCTCTCATCACACCACAAAGCTCTCATCAGTGTTTTCCTCTTGAGCTAGCCTTTGTATTACTCATTGTATTAAACCACCAGAACTGCACACAGTAACGAAAGCTTACTTTGACCATTAATACTTATCACCTATTTATATAACATTTGCTGTAAGCGTGGCTCTTCATTCTACACTTGGTGGTGTCTCATGGTAGTGTTTATCACCCCCACCTGATTGACACCTAGTTTATAACAACAGAATCTGATTAAGGATGTGATTTGGGCAAACTGTTCCTGTATTAAGATCTCAAAGCTAGTATGGTAATTTTTTCAAGTTTTGTTTTGATAATTTTTACATGTATGCATTTGTTTTGTCTTTGCTTATGTTCAAAGTCACTGTTGCTAGTGAAAACTGAGGCAAAACTGTGGTCTGTATTTCATGCCTTATGAAAGTACTCATTACTTTTTTTATTCTAAATTAATACTTCCAGCGCCTGTTCTTTTCCTGTGTTTGAATGTTTTCTGGTTGGGAAGTCAGAAAGTCTACAATGATTGTTCATCTGCTTTGGAAATTTAATTAGGCTTCACTAGGTTAATGCCACATTGTTCATTTTTCTAACTCTTTGGTAATGGGTGAAAAATGTCTCAGAATTTGATGTTCTCTGCTCTTTTAATGGAACTCCACATTTTCTTAGGTGTAAAGACACCTAAAGACATAAAGATGAAGAAAATTCCGTATTTAATTGGTTTCCCTTCGCTGTGTGAAGAGACTCAGCCCATCTCTGCTGCTGTAGGAGTTTCCTATCTGCAGGTCTCCAGACTGTTCTGGGGAGATGGGAGTAGGGTCTCAAGGGTTGCTTGTGAAAGGTGTAGCTCTCAGTTGTGGTGGGGGGGTGGTGTAACTCTGGGCTATGTTGCACAGCCTGAAGGAGACCTTTCATCCCTGAGTTGTCATTTAAGCTGTGGACAAGATGCTTATCTTGTAAACCTCACTGAGCTGAAGGTCCTGGCTCTTTGTTGTGCCACTTTTCCTGCAGTAGCTGTTGACATAACACTGTCACTGGGAGGCAATGTGGAAGTGCTCCCTGATCTGCTGGGATGGGCCAGACCAGTTTGGTGGCTGCTGAAGGTGGGTGCAGCTAATCCTTTTGGCTCACATGGAAATTAATTGAGTGAAATTATGTGACTGTTATGACTTACAGTTTGAAGATGAAAGGTTGCTGCAAATGCAGTGGTGAGGATGGAGAAAGTATCTGTAGCTGGAACAGGGAGATCCAGAGATACACATCAGGCTCTGCTCTAATCTTCTGTGTAAAGCAGGCTCCAAGATAAAGAGAAGCCTACTTCTGTCTTTCATTTTTACACATTTTTCACTGCATTGGGATTTGAGACTGACACTACAGAGATGCTAAAACCATGTATTTTGCATGTGGCAGATCTAGTTTTGAAAATGAGATAAGAAAAATATGTAAACTCTGTGTCATGATCAGCTTTAAATATGAGCAAGGTTTGTATTTCATCATTTTCAAAAGAACTATGCAGATGAAAAAAGCCAGTGTTACAGGGGTCTCTGGGTCTTTAATAGTGACATTGTCTGGAGTAGAGGAAAGGAACAGCCAAGTAAAGGGTGCTCAGTTTTGAATATAAGTTCCTAAATTCCATGTATGTGTCATTTGGAGATCTGAACTTTATAGTTTTATGTAATTTGGCCTTTAGAAAGCTCAATATGGTATATTAAATATGTAGGTATGAACATCTGTGGCTAATTAGCTAGCAAAAATGTAGCTCCAGTAAGAGAGTAAATTATTTTCTTTTTTTTAACCTTCAATTTCTTATATTTGAGTTTTATACTAATTTGGCTGCATGCAACTTCAGTTACTTTTACCATAAAAATCTGATGATCAATCCCTTTTTTCCCTCCTCACAACCTTACAGGGCTACATGGGAGCTAATAATAAAAGCACTCATGAGAGTTAAATGAAATACATTTTGAAAAATAACTGTTAATTTAAAATCTTATTTGGTGATACAATATGTTAACAACTTGTAGGCTGTATAGTAAAAATCGGAAGTTGCAATAAGATACAGAAACTTTGAATAATTATATTTATGTGTGAGGAAAAATGTGTTTTTAATGGATGAAAATAGACTAATTCAAAAGTGAAAACACACTGCAAGACCAAACCTCTGAATATAATCACCAACTGTGGAAAAATGTAATAGGTCTGCACATGTTGGTTGGTGTTTAGTTTTCTTTCTCATTGGCTTGAAGAGGGAATATTCAGCTAATCTAGATGGAGCAGCAAGGTCTGGCTGCACTGCAAAATGTGGTGTAACAAAGGATATCCCTGCAGAAGGGCAAAGCAGAATGCTCTGGAAAGCTTTTTAATGGGTACTAAAAAATTACATGCAGCAATTTTCTGTAATTCACAGCCTTACAAAGTGTTGTCACTTTCTTTGGAAAAAACCTTAGATAAGCTGCAGAAATTGAGGTGAGAATTTTCAAGAAAGAGCCCTTTTGGGGAACCCTGTGAGACTGCCTGAGATAGAAAAAGCTCTTCTGAGCAATGTTGGTGCCACTGGTTGTTCATTACTGCATATGTGCTTTGTGCCCTGTTCTATTTTCATGTCAGCTGCTGAGAATAATACATAGAAGTGGAAGATTGCCATGTTTGTGATTCCCTGGCACAACACTTGGTTGACCAGCAAAGCAGTTCTGATTTTTTCTGTTGTGCTTGATCCAGGGGAAGATTTGAGTTAAAAGAAAGAATCCTCCAAGAAGAAGGCATAAGGTAGGCAGTCATGATTACTGATTTGGCCTGGTAGAGCCAAGTCTTGGATGTTCTGTGTGTTGTTAACTGGATGCTTGGAATTCTTATTTTGGAGCTGTACTTTGCAATTGGACTAGTCAGTCCTGACCCACTGTTTAAGATATGTACTGTCTGTGCAGAAGTTGGAACAAGCAACAAAGTCATATATTTTGGTATTTCCTGAGATGGGAGGGATTGTGTTCTCCTTCCTTTTAGTTCAGTAAAAATTGTTCATGTACTGTTCAAGTAATTTTCCAGTTACCTTAATCGTTAAAACTATTAACCTAATGAAGATTTAGTTCTGTGTCTTTATTCTCTAGTGAGAATAACATATACTACATTATGCTGTAGCATGCCTTATTAGTGTCATTGTGTCTGTTCTGAGCCTGTTTGTATTAGAGCCATTACAGGAAGACTAAACAGTGTCAGAACCATGGAAAACTAAACTTGCTTTCTCCTAAGTCATACTAAAATTCCAGGAAAATCATCTGGGAGTTTCAGTTAAGTAATGAAGCCAGTGCTTTACAGAATACTGATGGTCACTACAGCAGCACCAGGATGATGCAGTACAGGTCTTGATTTGTACAACCTTCCAGCTTCCAAACTGTTTCACTGTGCTTGCATAATGAAGGATTTTCCCCCCTTTATCATTAAGCAAATGTTCCTGAAGAACGACTTGCCAGTAAACATTGTTCCTCTTGTGAAAGCTTATGGATCCTATCCCATGTTTTCTAATAAAAATTCTAATACAAACTTTGGACCCATCAAATGCCTTAAATCATCTCGGGTCACTTGTGATTTCAGGCTTTTTAAAGTCTAACTATACAAAAGGTAAGTTCTGAAAAGTGTTTACATGCATGAAAAGGATATAATTGAAGATTCAGCTGCAGAGTTTTTGCTGGTTCACCTGAGTTGGATTTCTGTTAGTGATTTACATAGCTAATGACCCATAGGAGTTTGTTGCCTTGCTTTTTTGTTCTGTAGTTGAGCATTCTTTAAATTTTACGTTGTGTTTGTCTTTTTTAAAATCTTTGTTTGGTTCTTTTGTTTTGTTTTGCAAGTATCACATTTTTATAGAGTTGACTTTCAGTTTTAATGAATTTTTTCTTGTGTGAAAGACTTGAAGATACAGTGTTTATCATTTAACCATATATGTAGAATAAGAATTAGACTTTTATCATGACTATAATTGAATTTAATTATGTAAAGAAGCTTTGCTCATCTAAAGGGATTTTCTAATTGAAATTTACCATATCTGAAAGACTGATTGCTAGGGACCCACATGATTTAATTGCTTCTGAATATCCATGACAACTGTTATCCTATTGCTTCATAGCACTAGGTCCTGCTGTCAGATTATGTGGAGCTGTATATATTTGAAAATGCCTGCTTAAATTATCACAAGTTTAAAAATATGCTAAAATAATATGTATACCAGAAAAGGTAGAACTTCTCTTTCCTTTTTAGTTTGCAGGTGTTACTTACAATAGATAGAAGTATTGTAAGTACTTAGAAGATTTTAAAATTGATGAAAATATGAATTTCAGCATGGTATGCAAAATTTGGTATTAAATTATGTTGAAGCTGCTCGAATTTTGAGACACTTAAAATTCGGGTATTGTAAAAGAAACTTTAATGAAACAGCAAGTTTGTTATGTGGGAGAGTTTGCAACTAATATTTAGTATTAAGAACTTGTGAAGTCTAACATAAAAGCCATGGGCTGTAACAGCAGATGGGATTTTACTTACACACTCTCCTCTGAGCCCTGTTCCCAAGGCATATTGTTGGCTCTCTTCCAGGAATCGTACTTTAATGTTGTATACTCTTCTTCCATAATAAACAACCAACACGTATGGTTCAGCCTTTGATTTCTTTGAACAATCTCTAACCAAGAATGTCTCATCCTGAATGATACAGATTTAAATTATAGATTGTATGGTTAGTTCACAACAAAACTTATATGCCATTGTGGACAGCTTACAGAAATTTTCCCCCAGGAGTTCACATCCCATGTTTTGACATAAATGGTACTTACAGTGTTTTTCTGTAACAGGATCTTCTCTGCTTTATGGCGATCATATTCTCCAACATACCACTCACATTTGTTTAAATCCTTAGTTTTAAGATAGCATAATCAGTGTATAGAAATTAACAACAAGCAGAATAAAAAACAGATTCTCTCTAATCTGCATTTAAAGCACATGCAGCACAGTATATAATGGTAATGCATCTATATTGAGAAGTCCTGTTAGGAATTGTTAATTAAATTAGACATTTACATTCTTATCCATGGTTTCAAGAGCTCATATTGGACTTTCTCAATCCACAGCTGAACATCCACAGCTTTCAGAGGGAATCAGGGGTGGTGCCATGTAGTGTTAATCCTGTTTCCTAAAGACTTGTACTTTTATGTAGCAAAGCCACTCTTTACCTTTTCAGTGGGTTTGGTAAGAGATTGCATTTCCTGTTCTACAAGCAAATGTTTTGATTTATTTTTGCATGCTGCGTATGATGTCGGAGGTGGTGGCTTCTTCACTGTCAAATTATCTACACTTAATGTGGAACCTGTAAAAGTAAATTCAGAAGGAAAAAGGTTGCATTCTTAAAAGCTATAATTTAATTTTACACTATGTTTTACTTAGTATTTTTGAGTGTAGTACTTTTAATTTGATATTAACCTTTAAAATTTAGAGCTGTCTGTTAAGAGTGGTCTTATGCTAATGCTGCATCAATGATTTCAGATTAATGCCTCCAGAGATTTAACACATAAGATTCCTGATGGTTTTTAATTGACTTCAATCTGACAGGCTATTGTGGACATAGCAAAATAATAAACTGTAAATGAAACAGCAAATGCTAAATAAAATACTAAATGTAGGACAAAGATAGTGGTTCATTCTGTTCTACTTTCACCTTTGAGCCCTTTTATTTGTGTTGGATCCCAGTTGCTGTTACATTGGATCATATGAAACCTCTCATTATTCCATTGCCAACTAGGATTGTTTCTACCAAGCTGTTGAAACCTCAGATGATTCAGATGCTCTGCCATGCTGCTGAGTTTCAGTTTTCTCTGTGACTTGTTTGGGTTAACAAATTTCCTATACCCGGGGCTGAGGTTGCCCTCGCATTAAGGAGAAGCCGTTGGTCTTTGGCTGAGTGTGCCTCTCCATGCAGTGCTGCTGGCACAGGGGCCTGGAGTAGCTGAAATCCTTCTCCCACACCAAATGTGATTTGCTGTCTTTACAAGCTGGACCCAGCTACTCCAGGTCTCTGTGGAGCTAAGGAAATGCAGGGATTGGGTCAGGAGCACAAGTCATGTAATACAGGAGGCTTGGGCTGACTGTGAGGATGCAGAAACAGCGTCAGAAAAGCAAGGGCTTCCTTTCAATGTAAAGATCAAATGTAATTTTCAGATATGGGACATGAGGAAAAATTGTTAATTGAAGATAAAAACCACCATATTCTGCTGTATAACAGAAAACAGTTTTCTGTTTTTCATGCAATGCTTGTGGGAGAAATGATCCAGTGTCTATTTTAAAAGTAAATGAGAAAAATGTGTTTATCAATGGCTTCCATCTTTTCCTTCTGGTTACTCTCACCAGAGACAGTGCTGTTTGTCAGGGTGGTATTTCATTGTGCTTTATCTGCTCATGCTTTATCAGTTTATTATTGTTATGCTGGTGTGTAGCATATAGCAATATTAAATTTTACTAGGATGACTTTCTTTTAAGAGGGGAAGTGGTTTTCACTGCCTTTCACTGTTCCATTCATATTTGTTCATATTTGTTCCCTGTTCTGATTTATAACTGTGTTACTTTTGCTTTTAAAACAAGATAGCAGTAGACAAAGAGCCATGATCTTTAGCAGGTAGTCAGTCTGTTCAGTAATGAAACCACTGTTCAAAGGGCCTGGCACCAGACATCAACCTTTTGTTTCTGCAATCACTTTGACTTGTCAAAATGTGACATATTCTTACTGTTCAGCTTATTGGATCATGATTTTAGCATTTTTGTTTGCATTGCATTTTTAGTGGCTGGCATCCCCAGATTTATTTTAAAGAGTCCCCTCTGCTAGGGCCATAGTTGCTTTGGACCTGTGCTGTGTATTTTTTGCAGATCTTTTTCCTGGTGTGTCTTAAGGTGTGGGATAAGAAGGGTAAAATTAAAATTCTCTTGCAATGCTTATGTACCAATTCTGGCTGAGAGGGAGCTAACGACACCATGTCAAGAAATAAGATTTAATAAAATTAATATTTGTTCTTACAATATTCTTTAAGCCAAATATAGACTTTAAAGGCAATTATAGAGTAGCAGGGGAAAGGCTACTTATTTGTTCTCCCCCTGTTGCTTCAGGAAGGCAAGGAATTGACAGAGGAAAAAAGATACTCTGCTGTCCCAGAGAGCCTAAAGGAGCAAAAGCCCTGGTAAGGATGGTAGGAAGTGTTTGCAGTGGCAGCAGCAAACAGAGACCTAGATGAGCTTTATGGATTCTGTAAAGAAGGGTTTTTTTAGTAGGTGTCCAGAGGAGAGTGTGTGCAATTGCTACCCAGCACAAGAAGGAAGAGGCTCAATGGAGGGAGCCCCCCAGAATCTGGGAGCTGGGGCCTGTGAAGCAAAGCTGGGGGAGGTGGGCTTGGTTTGCTTGGCAGTGACCACAGTTAATTTGAATCCTACTTGACCTGAACACATAATGCAGTCCATATGTTCTTCCTGGTGGTATTTGCTTTTACCATAAGTTCATGTTAAGCACTCGTAGGTTCTTGGCACAGCCTGGGGGTTTGTTTTTTTGATCAAAAAGGACATTTGCAGAGACAGTTACAGGAGAGTAAAAGTATGCTGTGTAGTCAAGGACAGTAGGAAGTGCATTGAAAATCCTCAGTGCAGACATACAAGCATACAAGCAACCTGAATCTGTTTCTTATTCTGATTTTTCCATGTTTAGTTTGGCTTTCAAAGCAATCTCTGGTTCTTACCTGATCTGCAAATGTTCTTAGAGCTCCGTGTACATTGAGGGCTAGGAAAAAGCAATGAATAAAATAATGTCAGAAAAATATTTCTTATAGTGGCAGTGTAAGAGTCAAATTAGAGAGCAATGCATAGCTGTGCTTCCCCAGAATACCCCTTTCTCTTACTGATGGCAGCTTTGGGCCTTCCCAGGTTTTGGGTGGTAATTTTGTATTTAGTGTCTTTTGACAGATTTCCCTTATTTTCTGAGCCACTTTTTCAAATTGCATAGAGTTTTGGGGGCTTTTAGTCTTCATAAAAGGATACACTGCATGTGTAGTAAAGCACAGTTGCTTTTGTTCACTGCTAAATTCAGGTGATGTTCCCAGTGCCTCTATAGGAAGGCCCAGGGAGCAGTTCCTCCCTGCCTCTTCTGATTTTCTAGACCACTCCTGAGTGGCTGGCCAGGCAGTATTTTGTTGTGTTACACCGGGAGGAATACTGACCAAATAACTTCTCACAACAGAAGCACAAGAAGAAAGAGAATGCTAGGGGTCACAAATATGGTCATATTTGCTCCTTACAGTAATTTTATCCCAGTGAAATGCCTTTATTGTAAACAATGTTGCATGAGAGATACTGTATTTGTCTAGAGAGGATGTTAAATCATTCATACACTTCCTATGCTGTCTCCTATATTTTTGAGTTTTGTTGCATATTTCAGTGGAATAGAGATTACAGACATTTAGTAAGGAAAGATTTGTATAGGTTAGAAAAACAAAGTACGTCTAACTATGGAAGATTTCTGTGGAAGAATAATCAGCCTTTGGAGAGCCAGGTGTGTATCCTTTGTAAATAAAAATAGAAAATGAGGGGGAGAGGAAATTCTGAGGCTGGAGATAGCAGAACTTCTTTATACAATATATTTAACAACCTATCACAGAAATAGCAGCAGAAATGTAATACAGCAGCATGCTATTAAAGATAAAAATTGGCTGTGCAATTACAAAGGCTTGAAAAGCAATTCCCAAAGATGTTCTTGACATACATCAGGGCAAAAGATATCACTGCATGGCATCAGAAAGTGGTATCATTTTGCTGTTGTTGCACAGTGAAGTGCAATTTTCTAGGGCAGAATGTTTAGTCTTTGAAGCATCCAGTACAAACTCATTAAATTCTTCTATTCCTACCTGGCTTCAGGAGGATGATGTTGTGCTTGAAAAGGTACTTCAGGTTTCTTCCCCAAACTTGTAACTGTTAGTAAAAAGAATAAGAACTCAGTACTTCCTCTCAGTATGTCTAACTGAGAGCATCTAGCAACTACTGTGAAATAAATTAAGTAAATTCATCCATCAGGGTGAGGCAGTTCAATAGAAAACCTTAAAGGGCTGTAATCAGTCTGGTTTAAATGAGTCAGCTAATGACTTCAGTGGGAAACATTTGGACTAGGACTGAATGTTACATGGGGGACATTACAGGGTTTGCTGATGCCAAATATGGCTTCACATAATAGTAAATATTGTAGAATGTTGAACAAGAAGTATGTGGAGTGTTCATAAATCCTTTTTATAGGACAGGATAAGCATTGAATTTATTAAAGCAGTCGATTCTATTTCTTGCTGAAAATCAGGAAATGGTGCCTTAATCCACAAAAGGAGAAGCCAGAGGAAATTATGAATTTATTGAATTAACACAAAGTATAAACAGCATGAAAGCCATGTAACCTGTATTTATCTTCAAAGTATTTTGGAGTAATGTTTGTCATGGACCTTTGTGCACATGGACACAGTGAGTGGTTTGAGCCCTTTTTTCAAACCTGTATGTACATTTAAAGAATGACATGTTTTTAAACATTGGAGGTTTCAAATTTTAACAGAAAAAATTAGCTTTAAAAGCCTAAAGCTTTTAAAAAACTTTATCCAAAATTCTCACCCTCAAATAATGGTAGAGCAGCAAGATTGTCAGAAGGGTGATGTCCTCTGTGCAGATCTCTTTTGGAGGGTTTTTAGGCACCAACACTCTTATTTTCCCCAAAATAAGACATTTGCTTAGGACAAATGTGTTACCCTGGCTCCCCAAATAGCTGTAGCTAAGGCCAAGTTAAGTTTCCTTTTTTCTGCTGCTCATCAGCAACTGTTGAGGTCTCTAACTCTCTCCATTCGTAGCAGAACTATACCTGGGGAATGTCTCTTGTTTCAGTTAGAATTTTAATGATAGAATATTTTAGTTTTGGAATATAAAGGAAAGACAACAAATTATTATAATAAATTGAATACTGACCTTGCTGTCTTCCAGGTATCTGTATAAAATGATAACATAGTAAATATTTTTCTTTGGATTTGTAACTTGAAATTACCCCAACTACAGATCCAACTATCCACCAGTTTTAAGTCATTTATAAACATTCAATCATTAATACCTGATCACTTTGTCAAAAACCTGGGCTGAATGCTGATCTCAGTCTGCTAGCAACAATGAGAATTATGCTTTTTAGGGGCATAAGTGAACATGTGGTTTACTGGAAAGATCACCATTTCATGATGGCTACTGTGTATCAATTTAACTTACAATATGGTTTTCCTTCCTTGATCTTGTATTAAATTGAGATTGATTATGGCTGACTGGAGAGACCCAAAGATTAAAATCAGTCACTTCTTTTTAGGCTCTTTAACTGACAGCACAATTATTTTACTGTCATGGCAGATATTTCATTCAAAATCACTGTGTGGAGAGTCTTAATCCAACACATTATGTTAAAATTAAGAATGATAGGTTTCTAAAGATTGGAGTTTGGCTCCTAAACTTTCACTGTATTTCTATATTATTTTGATTCACAGATAAAAATAATGGTAATATAAATTATTTTGTTTGTTAATTTGATGCATCTAAGACTATAATGCATAAATATTAAAGAGAAAAAAAAAAGTTTTTTTGGTAGGTGCTGCATTTTGAACTTTCCTTATAAGTTACTTCCCCAATAATGTTTACTGATTACTTGGAAATTTTAAGTCTTATTCAGGCTGAACAAGACCTGGGCAGGTCCTAGCCCAAGGACCTGCTTAAAGCAGGGAGAACTGTGAGATGAGACCTGGGGATCTCAGAGCTTTAACCAGGTCTTGCAAACCTCTTTCAATACCCTCATAATTATTTTTTTCCCTATTTCTGATTGAAACCTTCATCATTTCAAGACTGTTGCCTCTTGTACTTCCCCTGTGCACTCTGTGGTGCACCATGCTCTGCCTTTTTGACAAACATCCCTCAGACACCGGCTGGCAGCTGTTGGGCTCCCCCAGGGCCATCCCTCTCCAGGCAAGGGCAGCCCAGTCCCAGCAGACTCATTTCACAGGCACTGCATGTCCTGGAGACCCTGTGCTGACCCTCTCTGAGCAGTACTGCAGGTGTTGTCCAGTGAGTGATGAGTAAAGTCAAAAGGGAATTGTCCCTTCCCTTGTTCTCTTGGCAATGCCTCTGTTGACACAGCTTGGGATGCTCTTGGCCTTTATGGCTATCTAGGATACACCAGGGGCTTGTGTTCAGCCTTTGGTCCCCAGGTCCTTCTGAGCTGAGCAGATGGTTTAGTTCATTCTTAGGTAGCATTTTGCCTTTGTTCTTTCCAATTTCAAGAGACTCCTCAGTACCCTTTCCTGCAGCCTGGCTGGGTTGTGGTGAGGGGCAGTTCTTCTCTCAAACCTGCTCTTTGCTGTTTGAAACCCTGACAAGGGCACACTGTGTCTTCTCCAGGTCACACTGAAACTGGCTAGGCCTTCATATCTATAGGAATGGGAAGTGACCAAAATTAAATTTTATCTTTTCCATGTCATGAGACACACAATATTTCTTCTTAAGATGTAACCAAACTAGGAGTCTGTTAAGAGCTGAAGCATTTGTGCAGCTGTACAGTGTTCAGCCAGAAATATTAATTACAGATGTAAGATATTTATTTTTCTTGGGAGTGTTTTCGTATTTGGTTTGTAATGAGTCAGCATCCAGGAGAAGAAAAACCTTTTTTTTTTTTAAATTGTGTCTTTCTTGCCAATATATCATTTTTTAAAGCAGGAAGTGTTGATTACAATATTGCTATCAAACCATGTTTTTGTCACCATCTTTCAAACTAAAGCTTCTAACCAAGAGGAGTGAGGTTTGGGGCAGCCTCCCAGTCAGAACTGTGGGGAAGGAAAACTCAATGGATTTGAAATTTAGACAAGTCTGCAGATTTGTGCTTCAACCTGCTGTAGAAGGAAACAGTTGGGATTAACTACTCTAGATTCCTTTCTTCTGTTCCCTTTAATGAGAGAAAAATAAAACCAATTCAGTAGGAACACATTAGTGCAGGATCTAAAACATTCAGTAAGAAGCACAAAATGCTATAAATGATAACCTCTTTCCAAATTTTTCAAACATTCTTTAACACTCTGCATGATTGTAGGGACTGTATTTCTTAATAAGTTTTATAGGAAACCTCTTGTCATAACTAAACTCCCTTATTGCTAAAACCTCTGCTTTACTTCATTGGTCTGAGTAGAAAGTGAGTGGGGAAGGAGAGGCCAAAGGGAGCTGGGGGATAGCAGGCACTGTTAAAACTGGATTTAAAATTTGTCCATTCTTTTTTCATATTGAAATGGGTCATCTTCAAGTATTTATATTACATGAATGCTATTAGACTCCTCTATTGACCTTAAAATTTCAGTTTTCTGCTTGTAAAAATGTATGTGGATTCTTTGTTTGTTTGAAGGAGAGTGTCTCCCTCTTCACAGGCGTCCCCATCAGGAGTTACAAGAGATGCTTTATGTGGATAGTTGGACAGGGAGCTTTGCACTGTACCTTTGTTTTTATTTCTGCAAACAAATTCAGAAACTGACCCCATCCATTCAGGAAGTAGCACTATTGAAATTGCAGCACACATTAAAGATGGACACTTTTATGACACAAAGCTAATATGACTCTTACAGGTTTTTTAACCTGATAGGCTAAAATACTATTACATATACATACATAGCCATGGAATGTGTTTGGATTTTATGGTCCTAATACATACAAAGATGAATACTTACTGTATTTGATTTCCTAACAGAAGAATGTCTGGAAAAGAAAGAATAATAACCAAAATATTTAATTATGATAAAAATCACTTTGAGTACATCATCAGTGATGATTACGTCTTGACAAGGGAAGGATTTTGCTACTGCTAGAGAAGTTCAGAGGCTGGTTATTTTTTACATGAATTATTTTCAGGAGAATTATCTTGGACCTCCTTAAAAAAAGAATAGCATCCACTCAATTCATTATGGTAAAAGACCACTTTGTTAAGGATTTATACTGGAAGGAAGGGAAAAAGAGGAGTATCAACTTCAGCACTTCTCATCTCAGGCCAAAAAGTCTTATTACACATGTTAGAGTCAGCTATAAATGGAAGTAAGTTCCTTAAAGACTGAAGAATTTAAAAAATGAAACATTCACAGAGCTGAAATGGAAAGTGTAGAGGAAAGGAGGTGCAAAACAGGGAAAGAGGAGTGGAGAATGTTCCTCATGGCCCTGATTAAATAGGTGTTAAGGTATTTTTCTGCCTTCTGATATGCCTGATCAACAGAAGTATCCTTTCCTGGGAAGGAAAAATTCTCCTTCAAACAAAAATGGATGAGGTATTGAGTCTGACAAATTCTGTTAGATGTTTTGGTTATGATGAAAGCTTATGGCAGCTTTTAGTAGCTTGTATCTCCTAATGAAAGAGGCAGGGTACCAGATTTTACAAGCTATTTAGCAACATAAGGTGTGAATAAGCATCTAGTAGTTTTTGGAAGGCTCTGAGATTTAGTCCCTGTTTAGCCTGTCTCCTGGACTGAAAAAATATGACAGTGAGATATTTTGCTAAGTCAGTCAGAAGACAAAAGGAAGATCTGGTATAGGAAACCCTGGGAGCTATTTTTCAACAGTGACAAGGGCTCTCTTCCTCATGTCTGTGTTGAAAACATCAACCAGCATGGAGGCCTGAGGCAAGAAATTTGGAGATTATCCGTATTATTCAAGAAGGCTAGGAGAAAGGAGTTGAACTGTTTTGCTTTGGATAGTTGTTTTTGTGTTAGTTTCTTCAATTTGTTAGTGTGGTCTCCATTTCTCCATATATTCCTTAGTGTGTGAAAGCTCATATTCGGGTCTCTGGGTGTGTGGTCAAGTTCCATGACATTAAAGATGTGCTTGCAGGGCTGGCCTCCACCTCCAAGGGACATGGCCCTTGCATGGCCTGCTTACCACAGGCATAGAAAAGTTTCAATCACATCAGAGCTTCTAACATACATTCCAGGACCTTGCACTTGCCTACTTTTTTATAAAGCTATTTTTTAGAGTGTATAAATAATGATGTGTTAAATCTTACAAGTCTTCCAATTTTTGTTGGAAAAAAAGACTTGCACTCCTAAATCACATCTTTGGTGGGACAGCTTTGCTTTCAGTCTAGCAAAGGGCTGTAATCTGTGGTGCCATAGTCCTTCCCTCTGCAGCTCATGGGTCTGTTTTCTCCTTACAAAGCTGTAACTGGACTGAGGATGGGTGAGAAATATTTTGAGTGAAGTGCTTGTAGGAAATTTGTCAAGTGCCTTCCCCAGATATTGTGTTGTCTTATTCTGTTCCACTTCTGTTCTACTCATGTAATAAAACTCCCTAGTACAACAGCCATGACATGTATTTCTATTACAGAATTTGGCTTTATAATAGGACCTTTTAAATCCAAGTGCTCTGCATACTGATATCTTCTGGCAGCATGGATTATAACATTTCTCAAAAAGCTTTCAATCTGTGCTGCCCTACCAAGGGAGGGGATCAGTTGTGGGATTTGGAACTTTGCAGCTCTGTGTCAGGTCTTGCATCTGAATATGAAGCTACTTCATATTAATAAAATGTCTTCGCAAACAACATATTTTGGAACCTAAGCCATGAAAAAATTTAAGCACCATTCAGGAAAAACCACAACCCAATAACCCATAATTAGAGCTCACTCATTAAATACATACTTTAAGCCAAAGATTATTTTCTTGATTTCTAAGCTTATTTTCCCCCCAAAGGATTTGAAGTGACCTCTGTAAAATGAAGCAAAATTCCATCCTGATGAGATGAAATTGAAATCATTTAAGGGAGGATGGACAAGATTGACACAGCTTCTGGCTGCTATAGGAGTCATTTGAGCATCATAACCCCTGGATTTTTGTCATTCCTGTTCCCAGCATGTCCAACACTGTCGCCCATTATGAATGTGAATTTTGGTCACACAGCAGGCACACATCTGCTTGTGTGGCAGTGAGCAGAGTGTGTTCCTGCTCATCTGGCCAGGTGTGTGTCATGTGGAAAAAGCAACCAGACTCCTAGCCTGGCATGAGCATGTGCTGGGTCATACAGCTGGGCATGCATGTTTGTGCCTCAGGTGGCTCATCCTCCCTGCCAGGTCTTTATAAAAAAATAGGCAAGTGCAAGGATGCTGAATGCCCATGGGTGTTGTGTGGCTGAGGAGTGCAAAATGCAAAGGGCAAGAAGTGATTTGTAGCTTGGACTCATTGGTCCCATGGGCTGAAGCCAGACTTCTGCCTACAGATGAGTCATTTCTTTTGCTGCTTGTAATGTCTTTGGGATGCAGAGTGAGTTTCTGTATCTCTGGAGCAGTCAGTGTGCTTCCCCAGCACTTGATTCACTAACTGTGCTAAGTAAATAGCAATTTGTATTTAAAAGTGGTTGCAAGACCTCTAAATATTATTAAGGAAAAAAATCTTAAACAAAGTGTTCATGAAAATTCTGTCTGCTTTTCTACTCCTTTACCATTATTTTGTCATTTCTTTTTTTAAAAAAAATGCCAGTGTCACATTACACTAAACACCACTTCTCAATTATTCACAGCTGTCTAAAGAATAACTTTCTTAAGCAAAGCAGAGGTATGACAGAAGTAAAATTTTGTGGTTTGAGCAGTGAGAGTGTTTTGATTCTCAGGGAACAAAGTGAGGAATGCACTGTACCTTGTGACTTCGGCTGATATTGGAAAGGTGGGGTCTCGGCTGAGTGTGTTCCTCTTGGGTAAGACCTGGCTGCTTATTCTTGGCTCTGGAGGAAGGGGCTGATACTGCTTTGGCAGCATCTTCAGAGGCCTAGAGAAGTCAAAAGAGACCTTGAAGAGCTATTAGGGAAAAAAGGAGGTGCAGGGACTGTGTTTTAAGCGCAAGTTCTGGAAGTAAGAGACTGGAATTTTCTGAGAGTATTTCCATGTATTTGTGCTGAGCCAAGCTCAGATCCAGGAGCTCTTCAGGGCCCTTCAACAGCAACAGTAATGTTGGATAATATTCTACATTTGCAAGACATTACTGCACTGTGTGTGTGCCACTAAATAGTGCTCTTGTGTGCCAAGTACAGCTCTGCAGTGTGGATATTTCCAGGTGGGTATGGCTCTGTGTATGGCCCACGGAACCCAGTCCAGTTTCAGACACAGAGGAAAAAATGTTCTTCATCCCAGAAAACTCAAAGGTGCCATGGGCCTGGTGTTTTCTGAGGGATGTGGGCATGCCCTGTCTGTGCTCTGAGACCAGGCAGCCACAGCCCAGCTCCAGCTGGAAGCTGCAGCATGGAGAGGTTGGCTGGACAGAACTGGAGGTGCATCCAAAGGGTCTGGCAGAGCTGCCTTCAGTGGTGGGCTCCTGGGGAGGGAGCCTTGTGTGCCTGCACAGTACCTACCCAAATTAAGTCAAGTGAGAGAATTAACAACCATTCTGGCCACTGTAATACAAACAGAAACAAATTTTTGAAATTTTATAGAATAATGATTGAGAATGCTCTTGTTCCTGCATTAATATGGTTTTGAATTTGTGAAGACTTACTGCCCTTTTATGCTATTTCATATTTTTTAGAGTCAAATATAAATATGGAATGCTAATAATATTTTAAAATTCTTTTTATCTTTTAGGGCAGTCAGTGTAGGCATGGAGGAATAAACTTGCCATTCCTAGACGACCTTTTGAAAGGATTTGTTAATTATAGCAGTTATTATTTGAGTTTGACCAAATCAAGAAGTAATTAATTTTTTATTTGTGGGCATATTCCACAAATATATATAGAAAAATATATTTGTGGAATGGGGCTTGGTCTGTCTTCTGTGGGAGCAATGGAAATATTCCAGTTGATTTCTATTCATGATTTAAATGTGTAGCAAAAAAAAATAGGCAAATTGATTTAAGTGAGAATGAAGTCAATATTATCACAGTGAGCAGAGCCTAAGGCACGAATTCAATTGGTGGAATATTTTTTTCCCCAGCAATCTATACCCGAGTTGAACCAGATTCAATATTTCTAGGCTTTTGTCTTGTCTGCAGGCACAGCCAGGTTGGTTTCGAAGATGCAGGCCTGAGCTCCTGCTATGAATGCTCAGAGCTCGTCATTTGTTCTCCCTAATTCCACATCAGAACCTGTTAAGCCCAAAGACAGCCAGCAGTGGAAGGATGCTGGCTCACTTCCAGCCACCTCATTACCATGAGCAGCACAGATGGATGTGAGCATTCATTAGCACTGAGTTCCCCGGGGAGCACAGGTAAGTGATCTCTGGTGTGATCTTACCGTGGGGGAGGTGTTGGCTCCTGGAAAAGAGAGGAAACAAAAATCTCTGTAAGCTTTTTCACCCCCACTTCGTTTACCTGAGAGAAATGTGTAGAATTTAGATTAGGTAGGCATGCCTGTGTCAAGTCAAAGGGTTTATGTGCTCTACAGCACAAAACATCATTCTGTAACATGGCATTTTAAAATCACTGAGAAATAAAAGACATCCTCATGTGCATGCAAGTGAGGTAATGTAGACAGTTCTCTTTTCCTTTGCCTAGTGCTAGCAAAATGGCAGCCTGCTTTTAAAAATCTATTAAATGGCAAAATAACCAGTAAAAAATTGAATTGATGAGAGATTCTGCTTACCTGGTATCCATGTAGTTTCATTCTTCCTCCTAAGAATAATTGCAAATAATTCTTAGTAGAGTGCTACCCAATAATTCACAAATGAAGTTGCAGCTTTATTCTGGTATTGTTGTTATTATTATGGGCAGTCCAACCCCATTCCTTGCCTTCCCCTGGCTCTACCTCTAGAACTCTGCTCCTGCTTTCAGAATTAAACATTTGAGGGTGATATTTATTCAGTTATTGTAAATTTAAATATTTTCCAGAGACTTTATATGCATATGTATATATATGTGCTTATTGAGTTGGGGATGCATTTTTTGTCTGTTTTTATTTTTGTATAGAAATTTATAAAAATACTGAAAACCAATGAAATCAATTCTATTTTTTCAAATATATCAAAATATGACTTATTATTTAATTAACATCTTACTCCAAAAAAAAAAAAATGTTTATCTTTGCTATATTGAAATTATTTTTCTAAGTTCTACATGCTGAAATCCTAAATAATGCAAGGCACATGCAACAGATCTCAAGCTCTCCTTCAAATAAACCATAACAAATTTTTCTGAATAAAATAATGATACCTTAAATTTTTAACATTTCTAGAAAATACTGTTGAAAAAAATCTTCTGTGCTATTTATGCCATCTTGTGGCAAGGCCACTTAATAGCACTGGGCATATGAAAAAATGTTTGGATATATTTAAAAACAGTGTAACTATTATGTAAAAATAACAGTGATCTCTATAAGCACTGTTCACTCAAGAAGTACTAAAAATATGTATCAATTGCATTCTCAAACACCAGAGTTTAATTTACCTTCCTGTACTGGCTTTGGCTCATCTTAACACCAGCACACATCACATGGAGACATGTAAATCCAGCCTACTAAATCCTGGTGGAATTCAAAGCTTAGATAAACTGGCCAACTGTCCTTGCCTACTGATTTCTGCAGATTTTGAAGCTTGCTTACTCGAATTTATCTCAATTCAGCTTTTTTCCAGGCTACATGGGGATTTGCTCACAAGAATCAATCTAACCTTTCATTTTCAACCTATATAGTGCTTTCTCATCATCTGTAGGAATTACTTCTCTCTACATTTTGCATTACAGTGTGAAATAAGGGGTGGGGGGGGAAGCAAATGCTGTTTTACATTGAGTTATTTTTCTGGCTGGTCAAATTATAGTACTTTCTAAAAATCAGCTGTTGCAGCAAACACAAAAGGGTCACATTTTCTTGGCTTGGCAATTGCAATTTTTGAACCATATTACCTTGTTTTCAAAGATTTGAAAATGGTAAGATAAAAAATACAATTTCTTTTCAAAGATAATATATTTAATCCTTCAGTAGCTCACTTCATGAGGTACTGCTATATCCAAAGTAAATGAAATGTAAAAAAGTGTATGGAAACCTACTTTTAAAACAATCCTACAATTGATTGAAACTGTCAATCAGAGGATTTTATATTTGGAGACTTCATTAGGTTCTTGAAGAATAAGATTGCCTTTCTTTGATTTCACCTCAAGAAACAGAACAAAAATTAAAGGTACATTTTGGACTGTAAATTAAAGAATTTTGGAGCAAATTTAGGGTGGAAGGTAAAGCAGCAGAGAAAAAAAAAAGCTAGGTGATGTACCCCACCATTGGCATATTCTGAGTAGGTCAGAACATTGTCCAAAAGCCTTTGTAAATAGTCACCCTAGGATGTAAATCCCTAGTGGGAATTGGTAAACTTGGTGTTACTGGTTAAAAATGGTTATTAGATTATGTTTTACAATATAGTAATGGAAAAACCCTGAGAAGGATGGGGAGTGAAAAATATGTTATTAGAAGTAAAGCCCAGCAGACATCTTGCAGGCTTTTGGTGAAAGAGTTCAGGAGACATTGGCTTCTCCCTGCCCCTTATATCCTTACAACATAGCAAAAAGGAAAATCTGATTTTTAAACTGAAGGGCCTTTTTTTTTTCCCCTCGTAGGAGCAGACAACTCCTGAGATAAAATAGATCTCCTTCTGTAAATAATTACTTCAGTGTTAGATAGTTGAAAGAGTACTGCAAAATTTGCAGGATGATTATTTTGGAAAGCAGCTGCTGTTCTGAAAACCGTGTCCATTCTATCACCTGTAATCTCTGCCTATGTACAAAAGTTAATTATAGAAGTAGAAATTACTATTTCTGTTTGCAGAAATGGGTAGGGTTTTTTTTAATTATACCTCTTACATTTGGCACTGTTCTCCCCTCCGGATCAAATGTGTGAATCTGTTAATAAACCAAAAGAAAGGTGTGATGTTAGCCATCATTCCAGAAGCTATGGCCAGTAGAAAGGGTGCTGCTCCTGGCTGGGATGCCTCTAAGTCTTAGCCCAGCAGCCAAGGAGTGAAAGGAAGAGATGGGGCATCTGTGCAAAGTGAAACAGGAACAGCTCACAGGAACTTGGGCTGCCTGCTGCACACGAACGTGATGCGGCCAAGACTTTAAATAGACTGCACTTTGGGGGATATTACAGAAAAGGGGAAATCTGTTTGTGGAAAAATTTTAGTATCTTTGCTTACAGCTGAGTGTTGAGGGGGCTGAGATGGGTTCTCACTCGTTGGGGAAGTGGTACCTGAAGGCCTTAAGCACCGTGTATCTGCAAAAGAGGAAGAAAAATCAAGCCTGAGTAATTCAGTAATATAATGTTTGAAGAAGGAGAGGTTTCAATGTTCAAAATGTGTTTTTCAGGTCAGGTCTCATCATTTATATAGTTTTTTTTTTTCCAGAACTTAACAACCATTATAGCAGCTATATTGAGAACATGAGCGTGATCCTGGTAATAGCTTTATGGTTAATGTCCCCACTGTGGTTATAAATAAAAGCCTTCATAAGCTGGTAAACAGTTAAGGCAGACATTTGACCTTAACTCTTGTTAGATTACTGAATTTGCTTTTCATTTGAACCTTTGCTCTTGGCAATGCTGTCATGATGTTCTAGTTTTGTGAGGGTTGTAGGGGTTTTATTCTCTAGGTAGTATTTCAAGTTTTACGTTAGCTTTTAATAAAAAACTGCATCCCTGGCCATCAAAAAGAAATGCTCAGGTTGTATGCTAACATGTGTTTTTCAGTCATTAATTTTATATCTCAAGGGCACTTGTATTTATCTAGAGATGGAAAAATGTATTTATCTAAAGATGGAAAAAATTTTAGCATTGAATTTTACCCTTTTGCAAAATATTTTCAGTCCTTTCTTTGCTCCTGTATCTTGCCACATTATAGTTACTGGGCATAATACATAGGCAAAAAGTAGCTTTTTGTTTAATGTGTTTTACCTTAAATCACAAAACAAGAACTATGTCTTTTGGCTAGCTCAGGGCAATCTTACATACACAACATAAGATGCTGACTGCTAAATGAAGGTTTTTACTACTAACCAAGATAAAAACTGTATTTGGAATTTACTTCAAGTTTCCAAATAAAATGGACAAATTAGTCTTGGAACATAATGTAGAATATCTGTTGTTCAGACTGATTGTGGTCCTTTCACACACTGATGAATTTTCTCACTTTAAAAGACATCTATTTGTTTAGACATCAAACAAACTCCCACAAAAATGAGTAGAAAATGTGTTTGCTGAGTTTGATGTGAACTGGAGCAAGCTGTCTGGTTTATGGTTTCCAGTCTTTCTCATCTAGGACTCCCCCCCATTTTCTAAAACTGTTTAAAACCTTTAGAGTGTTTATATTGGATTGGAGCAATGCACAGCTAGGATGACATTTCACTTCCATAAATGGGATATTAATTGCCTCTGTATGTTTAGGCATTAAATGTGACTTAGAAAATCTTCAGTAAACCAGAAGGTGATTAAAGCAGCTGCCTTACAAAGTTAAGAATGCTTGAGAAATACACTCACAGTAATTGCATATTACTGCTATTTAAAGCATCAGAGAACTTCTTTAGAAAGGATACTACATTATCATCTGGAGGAAAGTTTAGTGTGTTCTTTAATATGTCCTCAATCTTAAAGGTTTCCAGGCTTAAATAGCAGTGAGATTTTGTGAAATGGCTGTGGGTTTGATCAGCTAGTTTTTTGCACATTCTATGTGGAATGGGACAATAGAATTTATCTTGTGAAGGTAATATTAAAATTAAAGAGAAATGTGTAATTATTAATTTATTAAATGTGTAATAATTAATTTAATTATTAACCCTAATGAAGATCAGGGTAACTCGAATATGAAGAAGCAGACAAAGCTCTTCCCATGTTTCCGCCTACCAGTGTTATTTTCCAGTTGAACCATTTAATTAAAAAAAAAAAAAGTCTGGACAGAAAACTCCAGGTCTGTACTGCTCCTCTTCAACTCTAGGTTTTGCTCAGTTTCCCCAGACAGAAAATGTTACCTGCATATTCAGATTCTTGTAGAGGTTTGGCAGGAAGGATTCTCAAAGAGTGAACGGCCTCCAGCACTGAAGAATTTACAGTCTCATACATACTGTCTTCCTCCTCAGATAGCTCAGAGGAAAGCTGGAAGTCAATCTTGCCCTTCATTGTCAAGTATTCGCTCTGGAGAGAAGAGGAGAAGTACAGATAATACAAATAAATCTAAGTTCAAGATTGATTTCAGTGTGGAAATACATGATTTTCATAACCAGATATTTTGGTGCATGGGAAATTTTCTGATGGAAACTGAAAGGTTGGAAAGTGATTGAGGAAGTGGTTTGAGTGCCTCAATTTTTAATTTAGATTCATGAAGTAGCCATTTGGGAGACAGCTTAAATGTTTCTCTGAATTTTGCCTCTCTGCTCTTGAAAATATAATGAGAGTGTTTAATTTATGATCATTGCAGACATTTGAAACTGTATCTTTTTTTATAATATTATCCATGTGGTATTTGTATTGTACTGCCTGTTTACATATGTTACTTGCAAGAATATTTAACTAGCTCATAATAAATGTCACACTTCAAAATAAAAACATTCAGTGTTTTGGGGAATTTGTGCTAACAAATGTGCAGTCCAAATGATAGTGATAGTGAGTTATGTATTGAACAGTGGAGTCCATGGAAATATGGTGCATCCTGAGAGTGTCTCAGGATGTCTCTGGATGTGTCTTTACACTTGTGTAGGTTTGTTCAAGGTTGTGTTATGGAGTGCTGCTGCATTCTTCATCTTCACTGTTCACTCACTGAAACACAACGGCTGCCTTCCTTCAGCACAGAGCCAATACTGATGCTGAGGAACCTCAACTGAGGGTACCCCATGCCTCTACAAGTCACATTTTGTTACCAACAGCGTAGGTGCACCCATGCACTTGGGTCTTCTTTGATGTTTCTTCTATTCTCAAATTTATTTCATTCTCAAATTTATTCCCTGATGTTTGTTTTATTCTAATTATGAATGGGGAAATCAATATCTTCCTGATGTACCTTCTACCCTTCAGTTAACTGCCCTTTCAGCTCATGCTTTTTCTCTTGAGTGCTAGAATTGAAGCCAATTTGTTTTACTCTCCAAGGACACGAAATAAATTGATTACTATCCACCTTTATTTCAAATTTTATTCTACTAATGCCTATAATTATATACTTTTTTATTCTCTTCACTAAGCAAATATACTTTAAATCTTTCCTGGACCATCAACCTAATTAAAAGACTTTGAATCTCATATCCCCAGTGTTACTCTCCTGTGAGCACGCTCTATGTTGTAAACATCTTTGTTACAACATGAGGCAGACCTTCCAGAAGTGTTCTTTACACTACATTGCAGGGTGAGGCTTGTCTTTATCACAGTAAACAAAAATGTCACCACACCCTGGACAGACCCCCTGCAGGTAAACCTGGGTTTTCAGGTTCTTCTCTGCACCACTCTTTCCACTTCAATATCAATACTGTCAGCTAGGCTGAGAGTGGCTATTTTTTCAATCAGTTGTGCAAGCACTTTCATCTAGATGAAATAATTTTCATCTAGACCAGGCATGTACTTGTGAGGATGTCTTCCGGGAAATATCAGAGGCCTAATAAAAAGCAATATATATCATATTTACTGTTTTCTTTCTCATTATTGTAGTCATATTTCTGCTGAAAAGAAATTACTTTTAGTTTGAGGAATTGATGAGATGTTCTTTATGTCACATTAACAATTCTTTACATAATCAGACCTATTATTTCCAAAATATGCCTTCAGATTGACTTTGTTTAATAGTCTTTCCAGGTCCAAATAAATCCTCAGGATTTGCTTTCTTTCTTGGAAGAAATTGTGGCTACCACTGTTCTTTTCCATAATTTTAGAAACTCGGGACTCTGGAGAATTACCAAAGAGAATAAATTAATATCTCAGAAATTTCTTAAATAATTCTTTAAGTGTCTTAGCATGAGTAAATAATTTCCTGATCATTCTTTCCTAATTCTGCTCTGTGCTGTTTTTGCCTTCTATTCGGAATTAATGCCATAAAGCATCTGATTGTTATTAATCATTCTGTGAAATCGGAAGCAAGGTATTGATTGCATCAAACTTCTTTAGTCATCCTTTGTTTGTCCAACTTGCTTATTAGAACATAGACCTGTGTTTTATTTTCATCTTTTTGTTATTTAAAAGGTATTTTCACTCTTACATGCCTGAACTCAAACTCAAACCCAGATTTGAAATACAAGTGGAAAGATATTGAAATGTTCTCTGTTTGCTTTTCAGCTTTCATTTGTATTGCTTACATATTTAATCTTGAGATTTATGACTTACATACTTGTTCAACCTGACTCCTGTTATTTTTACCTGATCTTATGATAAAGGTTCATTTTAGATTCAGCCCATAAATGGAGAATTGGTGAGTCACTTCTCCAGTCTAGATCCCACTAAAAAAAGGTAACAGTTCTCTTCTGTAATTCACAATTCTTATGCCATATTTTACATTAAAAACCAGTGATGATTGCATTTTTTGTTAGTACTATAGCCAAGATGATATTAACATACATCAGGGAGTGAAAAAAGAGTAAAATTTTAGGAAGAACATGTGGTACTTACAGAATTATAGGTGTTAGCAGGAATAGTTCTCTTTTCTGTATAAAATGGAGAAAAGCTGTCAGCAGGTCCCATTCTGTTGTAAATTATAACAGTAGCTAGTAACTTATATAAAGGAACAAAGTCTGCCAACTGCAGCTTTTAGAGTATTTATTTATAGTATTTTAGAGATATGGAAAAAAGGACATGAAGCAGGTCCACCCAGGAGTTTGTGGACCTGTACAGTGCATGAGGAAGTAGCTGTGTGGAAATGGGATTCACAATCATGAGCACATCTAAGCCCGCCCTCCCAAAAACACCCAAAAAAGGATGTGCTTGAACTCCTGTCTCTCTCCTGAGTTTTGCTTCTTGGTGCAGAACTTTGAGATCTCTGGGGCTCCTGGTCTGGAAATCCCTCTGTGAATAGAAACATGTTTTGTTCTCTTCGTAGCAGAAGAAAATCCCAAATCTGGGAACGCTCCAGCTCTCGGCTACAAACTGTTCTCAGTGGTGTTTGCCCATGAAGCTGTCCCAGGGTACAGCCAGGAGAGCATGAGATACAGGGCCAAAGAGCTGGTCAACAGAGACTCCCAACTTCTGCACTTCACCTGATTTACACATTTAACCCAGTGACTCTTTAATGCAAAACAGCCATGGGTATGACCTTGCCCAGTACGTGCTCTCCTTCTGGACTGTTTCAATCCTTAGCCTGCCTGCAATCTCACAAATCTTGAATCTCTGGCTACATAATGACCTGATTTCAAAAGCAGAGCATGAAAGTCTTTCTATCGCAATCAACCAATAACAAATAATTACCACATGTTGTAATGCTTAGGAAAAAAGGGATAATTGTGCACTGAAACACTTTTATGCTAAGGAGAGAGTTAAAATCAGAATTACTTCTTGTCCAGGGGTTGTACCCCATAGCTGAAGGGTATTAAGGACAGCCAGCATCCCACAACCCTCCCTTACAGCTGTGTTTTGGAAGAAGCAAGTTTCTGCCTAAACACCCCTTTTGCATTTGTCACTCTGGTCCTGTGAGCCTGGTACTGCATATTTTTGTATACCCCAGCAGATGGCATTGAATGCTCATTTATTCTGTATAGGCAGTACTTTAATCTCTGCTTGCAGGATCATTCCTGGGTGACAGGGAAGGAGACTTATTCATGCAAGCTACTTGTCTGATTTTCTGTTCAGTTATACTGCTGCTAATCAGAAGTAAACCCAGTTAAAGGTGATACCAGTATAATAATAAAATGGCAGAGTCTTAATTTGTAGCCTTTGTACTTCCGTTCATAAAACAAGTGTGGCTGATTTATCCTCAACAATAAAAAATTAGTTACAGTAATAAACATCAATGCTATTGCCCATGCATTTCATGGCTTAATGCTAAAAAGGGACTGTTTGACACAAGCCTGTGGGGTGATGTATTGCTATCCAGTATCAGTTTACAATTTGATGTCCAGGTCAGTTTCTAATCTCTTCTGTTCTGCATGAATCACTGGAGATGGGATGAACTCCATCTGCCTTCTTTCTTCTTAGGCTCCTTTGCACTGGGCCTGTGAAGAGAGCAGCCCTGGTGCTGCTTTTCCGTGGGTCTGCCCTCTACATAATGTAACTGCCCAAATATTTGCTCTGTGCTAGCTGGGGAGTGCCAACCAGTGAGAAACCACTCTTCCTGTTATTTAAGAATATAATTTTCATAATGAAGACGGTAGCTGCAATCAGCTGGACCTTCTGGTATAATTTTTTCACTGCAAGCTAAAGATTTAAAGCTGGCACAGGCTAGAGTCTCCTCAAGTTATAGGGGACTCATCATGTTTTATTCAGTCTGGAAATTTTTCATTGCTTTGCTGCTTTGCCTGGGAAATTGATAAATAGAGACTATCACTTATAATAATAGTAAGATGTTATATTTCTGAGGAATACATGTGGGTGTGTTTCTGCCAGTTGACAGAGAATGCCTGAAGTCAAAGAACAAAATGGAAAAAATTCTCTTCCCTTTAATTTGCAATGGAATAAAACAGTGTGTGCATTTTGTGGGAACCTTAACGTTTCATGGTAACCTAAAAAGGTTTTGTTTGAAAGGGTGGCAGGTTAGGAATAAAACAAAAATCCAACATCAAAAATATGACCCTTTAAGTGGGAAAGCAGAAGGTAAATCTGTTCCCATTGGCTTCTCTGAATCTATGAATGCACAGTGGTTTTTTTAGTCCCTGTGGTGCTTCGGCCAGTGGCAGAAAGTGATAAAGAATTGTGGGCTGTGATTTAATAAACTCTGTGATCCTGCAAGGGTGTATCCTAACCACTTCAGTAGAAAAAACTCTGAAGCTGGAAATGATGCAAGGAAGAGCTGTGTAGATGTTTTTAGAGTGACTTTTTTTACTGTCTTGCCCAAAATTATGATGTAAAGCCTTGTCCTGTTCAGGTATGCAGACATCTTCCTAAAGCATAAAGAGGGGCTAGACAAACAAGCCTCCTGAATAATACAGGTTTAATTGGAGTACCAAGTAAAAGATTAGGCAGCTTTCACTTCAGAGACATGAAAAAGGCATGTGAATAAATACCAGTTATGGTGGGCATTCGGGCTAAGGCCAGCTATCCACAACAATAAAAGATTTGCAGTTAGATGATTGATTGCTGGGTTTTATTTTTCCCAGAACTCCTTTTTCCAGCCCTAAACCTAAATCTTCTATATTGTATGGATATTGAATGCATTTAAGCAAACTAGCACTATAAACATATGGTACATCAAATAAATTTATCTGGCTAGCTGTGCTATCTAACTTTGTTAGTTAGATAATGTTATATGCTTTGCATTAAATGTTTCAGCTCAGCTACAGTTGTGAACTGCAGTGGCATTTACAAAGAATTTAAGTAAATGATTTGCTTTTGAAATTAATGTAATTTAAACACATGCTTGCTACTGACGATAATCTGTCATGGAAACAGGTTTAGAGATCCTATGTCATTGTCTTGTTGTTTTGGAACAGCAAACAGCAAAATGAGGAGAGACCTTCAAAGGTAGCTGCAGAGGGAAAAGAGAAAGTTCCCTCAGTTGCTTTCTAGAAGCCATCAGCCAAGCTAATGTTTTCAGTCTGCATCAAGAGAATAACTTATTCCTAGTTTTTTGCAGTGTATACCATCATGAAGCCAAACATTTTTTGGTGTACACTGGAAGTAAACATGTTTTAGTTGTCTGCATTAATGGGTATCCCCTTAGTAGTGGATTTTCATTTTTTTCTACCAATTAATTTTAATTTTTATGATATTAAAATGTTCAGATCTATCACAGACTTTTATTGACTCTGAGTAAGAAACAGGCTACAGTACTTCCTTTTTCAGCAGTGAAGGAATTTTACCTTTCCGATGTCTATTTGGATTCATTACTTCATGTATGTTTGGGCAAGATCTAAATACAGAAAAACAGAAAAAAATCCCATTAAATATTAGAAATTTCCATTGTTCTATGAAACTTCTAAAGAATCCAGTTTAAATTAATGAGTGAAAGTTGCAAGGATAAAGAGTGCATTTGAGAAATGACTGCAGATTTGGAAATTCAACAATCTTGGGTCAAACCTTGCATTTTATGTTCACTTACAGCTCCAAGTTTGTTGCAGAGAGCTCTACTCATTTTGCAAACATTCATTGTAGACATAAATATTGTAACAGCCTTACTGATGCTTTACATATTCAGTGTATTATTGGAGGGATGAATTTCCTTAGGGAGATAGGAGCTAAAACTCTCTTTCCATGTGCAGCTGTGCCACTCCACATGGCTCCCTTCCCATTCTGCCAAATAAGTATAACACTTTCCCTAGACCTGATTGAGGTATTCTTGCATCCTGCTATTCCTCTGCCATGGAGAATATATGAGATATACTGGGTGTGGAAGAACCACATAAGCCTTACTCTGGTGTTGGTTCTCTCACCATGACCCTCTTTACCCACTGGACTGGAGCTAGACTGTCCCTAGAATTTACCCAGACTGTAGCTCTGTATCAGCCTGCCCAGAGACGTTTGTGGATCACTGCAGTAGCAGTACTTAGTATTCAGAAGCAACATCAAAAGCTATTTTGCAATGAAGATTTGGCCAGGGATCGCATTAAGACTGCATTAATGCACATTCATTTTAGCTATAGCTAAGCACCCACCCTTGGAATTGCCTAAAGTTTGGGAAATACCACCACAAATCTCAGAGTTTCAACTAGCCCACTCTTACAATTACAAAATAACTTAGATTAGCAGCAGCTTTTGAGCTCAGGGTGAAGCTGAATGGTTTCCTGCTCAGTGAACAAGCTGTAAACCACACAAGAGTGTACTAGAGTGTGTGATAATAGTATGGACACATCAATAATAAAACTTTTATTTATATTACTTATCAATGATTTAAAAATAACTTATTTACTTACTTATTTTTTGGCAAAGCTGTTTTCCTGCTGTTTGAATCTGCTGGGTGATATTCTACTGTTTTCCTGTTGGCTCTGACAGAATTGAACAAAGTTTGCTGTTAGAGAGCAACAGTAAGCAGGAAAGAAATACAACTGCAAGCAGAGCTCCAAAACTAATTTTCAAAACTTTTCAATGCACATATGTAAATTATTACCTTCTTCTCTATCTCAAGCATTTTCATTCTCTGAATATTTTCCTGATATTTTTTTTTTCTTTTCAGTGATTTGGAAAAAAGAGCAACGATTTCCTGCCGAGGGAATGAAAAGCTGGAAACTGAATTCCTGCGTCCTGCGTCCACTGTTTTGGTTACATTAGAATAGGGTACTTATTGAATTCAACTGAATAGGAATTAAAACCCAGGGGCACCTATCCAAGATCTCTATTGCTGGTAAAATAGTTGCTAAACACCAGCAGTGTAGATACCAAAACAACAGAGCTCAGTTCTCTTGGCCTTTCTACTTCTGATTGCCCTTGAGCCTCTCTTAGAAACAGAGCTCCTTATGTTACTCAGATGAAATAGTACTGATTTATAAATCCTTGAAACAAAAACTGAGATGATTTTTACTTTTGCCTTTTGACTACTGGACATTTCAGTCTTTTCAGCAAAAAGAGTTAGGATTATCCAGCAAATTATTCCTACAAATGAAAAGGTGGTCATGTCCTTTTGGAGCTACCCAAACTCATTTAAATTCATAGATCCCATAATCAGTGCTGTCAAGTCAGATTTCAGTTTTTCTTTACAAACATGCTCCAAAACCTATTTGAAACAAACAACCAAACAAAAACCACCCCCCCCACACACACAATTTAATCAATATTTAAATGCACACATTGCTAATGAATTTTTTAACTGTCATGTGAGACAGTTTGTTATGGAAATACTAAAGGGCTTAAATGCAAAGATGCAAATTTTAGAAGAAAGACAAGATATGTTTGTTTTCAGCTGTGGATTTAGCAGGAGAGGTGTGCCTGAGCAGTTGCTATAGCTATAGAGAATTTTGGATAAGAAGTTAAATCTGTACTGCAGTGATATGCCTCTGGAGCATGTGGAATATGAACAGGTAACTGATTTCTGTCATCTCAGTGCTCTTTATCATTCATGTATAATTTTTTGTCTTTTAAAAGAACAGTTTCATTTCTTGCAAAACTCTTCCTGCAGCTCCCCCAAGGCAGTCTGTATTACAATTGCAAAAGGCTGTTGCTTGAGTATTATACACACAGTGAACATAATTTTTGCGTGTTTGAATTGATTTAATTCCTCCCTGCCCCTTCCTATGGCAAATTTCCCAATATGCACCTGCAGAGTGACCTTCTGCAGGTTCTCCTTTGCCTGCAGCAGGGAGCTCCTTTGGTCTGTTTGGTAGTTTTTGTCTTTGTGTGAGATGCAGCACTGAGGTTTTACTGATATCTCTGTGAGTCTATCAGAGATACATACACGTTACTGGTGACCAGTAACATAAATGGCTCAGGATTTATCAAAAACTTCTCATGGCTAACGCCATTGAGGACATTTAGGAACTTCTGCATGTTCTATGTTAATAAAATCCTGACCTTGCTTTAAAAGAAATATTTTTCACCACTTTTGTTTGGAATATTGGTATGCCATTTTTAAAATCCCCATGTCTAATTATAGGGTCAAAGCATCTTTCCTTCATGGAATTTTCTTCATTCTCTGGTCAACACCACAGCAACATTGTTTCCTCCTGCAAAAATGTGGGATTTTCTTTAATGCAATTTAGAACACTTTCCTCTCTTTCTACTTAAAATGTAGAATTTCATTTAGCTGAGTACGTTCTATACATTTTTCCATTTATGATACTCATACCAGACTGACCAGATACAAAATTCTAAGTTGTGTTTGTGATAGTGCACACTAGAGGCATAGACAGAGCAACAATACCCATTTCTCTCAAGATTCAATTACATTATGTATGGCCAGAAGAAATATTGGAGCAAAAAAGTGAGGACAGACTTCATTTTAGGCCAAGATTGACTCATATTTAAATGCTGGCCAATTGTTATGGAGCACCTAGAGAAACAGAAATTACATTTACTTTAAAGTCAACCGAATTCATCTTTATTGTTCTGTTGCAATGCTATGCTTAATTTATGATGAATTGATTGCATAAAAGTGTCTATTTCAAAGATCTTATAATTTCCAAGAACCATGAAGTTATTAGGTAAATTTTAAGATACTCAATTTGAAAGTTTATTTATTTCACAGCATTTAAGGGGATTGTTACCAGAGTAAATTTTACTTGTTAGGAATAAAAGTTGGCTAAGTACAGATGATAAAAAGAGACAAAAATCCACTTCCTCTTATTTTGATTGTCTCTCTTCTCTTTCAACAGTGAAGCAACAAGAAGAAAAGTAGTGATCACATTTACTAGCTCTCCTCTGACTGCAATACTTTGCATGAAAACACTGAAATATTGCCTGATGTTTTGTTCAATCAGTTGCTACATTGCAAAGGCTCTGCTGTATTCATGTCAAATCCTTCTTCATGACAGACTTTAAATTGCCTAATCTGGCCCAAAATAGCCAGAATTGCTTAAACATCATTTTGGTTATTTGGTTTTATTGTTACTTATTTTTACAGTTATTTGCATATTTATTTGGTTTTGCAGATATATTTGAGTGCTCCTATCATAGAACAGTCCTACTGTGACAGATGAGGCACAATTGTAAAATTAGTCCCTGTCCAAAGGATGCAGAAACCAAGGGAAAATAGGTGGATGCAACTGAAAAATGGAGATAAAACAACAAGCTGAAGGTAAAAGGAGTTTTTCTAGAAGGAAAGGAATAAAACAAGGAGTATGCTTCTCTGTGCTGACTGTAGACATCTAAAGAGGGTCAGCCCCCAGTTTGAAAAACAGGCGCCTCTCAGGTCTGTGGAGAGAAAACCACATTTGTATTTTATATTTGCATTTCCATTACTACTATTGAAAGAGATCAATATTATATTAAGGGATGCTCTCATTCAGAAACCATCCTGTTTCCTGAAAGAGCGACTGAAGGTGGTATGTGCACCACACGTGTCAGTGTGATTGGACTGTGGGCCACTTGGCAACCACAAAGTCCTTCAGTTGGTTCGAAAGTGCATTGTACTGTTCATTTTGTCTTCTGGTCACATCTATGTCTGTAGATGCTTTTACTTCATAGCAGGGTTTGGGCTGGGAGGAGGTTTAGCCACCTCTGCTGTGGACCAGGTTAAGAAAAACTGCAATCAGGAGGGAATAATTAACTTTGACATTGTTTAAATCTAACAACAGTTAACATAGTCAAGAACTTCTAAGAAAGTGCATAGAGAGCTCATTTTTGAAAATGATACCTGCAAGCAAGAGAGATTAGGAACCTGGCTTGACTGGGCTAGGTCACTCTTGATGAGCTTGGATTTCCAAGTTGGCTGAACACAGGTGTGCCTTTCTGTTTTGGGCACCTGGTGTATCCTGCCTGGCCTGAGATGCTGTTCAAGAGGGCTGCAGGTATTTTCCAGATCTTGGATTGAACTTCTTTGGCTGGTGCCTGTCAATTTGGACACCTCAAAGCAGGGTCTGAAATCTCAAGCTTGCTGAACAGAGACCTGCCTCCAGTCAGCACAGAGCAGCTGCCTGAAATGAGCCTTTGTGGCTGCTCAGGCTGCAGAGGAGGTGCAGCCAGTGCTTGCAGTACACAGCTGGGAGCATTGGAAACACACTTTCCTCTGAGGAAAAATGAAGGACAGCTATCCACCATCTTTTGTATGAAATAATCTAGTAGTCAGAGAAGGTATTTAGCTTTTGTACCATGACTGTTACTGTGTCTTGCTTAGATAATTGGTCTCCACTGAAAAGAAAAGAGGAGCAGGAACCCAGTATGGGCTCCTGCACCCCTTGGATCTTCCCTTACAGTTTGTTTATGTGCTGATGGAGGAGGAGAGGTTTCCTGCACAGTGCCTGGGCAGGTGATGAAGGCTTCTCACCAGAATACCCTGCAGTCCTCATCCTGTGCATGCTATCCACAAAGAGGGCTTGGATCTCCCAAAAGGTGAGCTCAAATATTCCTGTCCCTGAATGCTGCAACTGCATGCAGGAGAACAACAGGAGAGTTTTGGAGAGGCACAGTTACCTCCCCAGGTATGTCAGATGTTTTTTGCTGTACAAGCTCTGGCTGGGATGGAGTTATTTGTGCTGAGAGCAGTGTGTTGGGTGTTGTACTGTGGATCTGTGACCAGAGCAGTGGTGACAGACTGTTTTGGCTGTAGTTTGCAGTGCTTGCATAGCACCAAGGTTTCCCTTTTTCCTGTTCTGTCCTCCCAGTGAGCAGGCTGGGGCTGGGCAGAGGCTGGAAATGGACAAAGCTGGCACAGCTGACCCCAGCTAACCCCAGGGATATCCCACACTGCGCAGCATGTATTCAGCAAAAAAAAAAAAAAAAACAAAAAACAAGTGAAGGTTTTTTTCTTTTAGGAAGACAGCTACTGTTCAGCGATTGCCTTCACACCGCTTGTTTTGTTTCAGGCTTTTTTTCTTTGCTTCACTTACTAAACCATGTCTGTCTCAGCCCACAAGCTTCCTTATTTGCTTTCCATCTTTCCCCAGCCAGGGGCAGCCTGCGGCAGGCACAGCAGCAGGTAGGGATTACAGGAAAGGAGGGAAAGAGCCATTTGACCTTTCAGCTGATCACAGGGGGTTCAGGATCACAGTTTTGACACCGGCATAAAAATATCATCGAGGTCCAAGACAAAGGCCTAACCACTTTTATATAATACCAACTACCGCCTTAAAATGGAGCTTTTTCTGTTCTTTTAATTTTTAAAGGTCAGTTCCATGAATCAGTAATAAGATCATCCATGGCAACATTGTACTCACTATTGTGACTTGCAATAAATACACTGTAAAAGAGATGCTCTTCTGATTACCACACTTAAACTACTATAGACCTCTAAGTGTGCCATGTTGGAGGACACTTGTGCTGTTCTTTTTACCTAAAGTAAATGCTAGGAACATAATAAATATTAAAGGCTCTATTATGTTAGCAAAATTATGCAACTGACCACTTGCAAAACTAATTAGAATTTATGATTGGCACAATTAATTTCTATTCTCTTCTTCCTGAAAGAGTGCTCTAGGTTTCCCTGGCAACCTTTACAATGCTATATGTAAATACAGAAACCAATCTGCATGCCCTCAGTTCAGATAACCCCACAGAAACACAAACATTTTGAACAGCAATTAATTGTTGTAATGGTTAAATTCAGATTTTAGAAATGTCAAATAGAAACAAGACACTGTAGTACCAAACTGCAGGAACAAACTGCAAAGTGGCAACTCCTTGCAAGAATCATATAGTCATAGACTCACGTGGATTGGAAGGGACCTGAAAGATTATCTAGTGCCAGCAAACCTGCTGTGGGCAGGGACAGCTTCCCCTAGACCAGGGTGCCCAGAACCCCATCCAGTCTGACCTTGAACACTTCCAGGATTGGGCATCCACAAATACTTAATGTATTTCAGTGCCTCACTACACTCACACTAAAATATTTCTTCCTAATCTCAGATCTAAACCTGTTCTCTTCACTTTGAAGCCATTTCATTTTCCCTCATCCCGTTCCTATATCCCCTTGTAAAGAGTCTCTCTCCATTTTCCTTGTAGGCTCCATCAGGCTGCAATTAGGCCACTTCAAAGCCTTCTCTTCTCCAGGCTGAGCAATGCCAATCTCTCAACCTTTCCTCATGGGAGAGGTTCTCCATCCTTCTGCTCATCTTGGTGGCCTCCCCTGGGCTGGCTCCAGCAGGTCCATGTCCTTCCTGTGCTGGGGACTCCAGAACTGGGTGCAGAACTCTAGTTCCACATACACAACTGTAGAAGACATTGAAACTAGCTTTATCAGGGAGTCAAGTGCCTGGTGAATGTTATGAATGCCACTTCTCTACTACTGGTTAGGACAGTTATTCAGGAGGACAGCTAGGATGCACAGAATACACTTTTTTGTAATACAGCATCATCTCATGTGGAAGTGTTGTAATGAATCCTAGACAGGTGACTTTGCACTGGATGAGAGAAAAAGAACAAATGGTAAGCCACCGTGGCTGAGGTAAAGGTTGACTCTCTACAAGGTATGCTTCAAGCTAAAAGCCTGAAATCTTCCAGGAGGGGAAAATATTTCACTCAGTCTCAATTGCAAATTCTGACAGAAAAATGTCATTTTAGGCCATTGCTCCTCTGAAACCGATATTTGGTTTTGTTGTTGTGCACGGCACCACGCCTTGCAAAGAAATGCCAGGAAAAGATTCAGTGTTTGGCATGGTTTTCTTCCCACAACTTTTGTACTGATTAAGATAAAACATATTCACACAGCAGTGGAATACTATGGGTCATTTCAAGCCAAATGCTGCAATATAATCTGAACCACATGGCAAAGATTTCTTGGGGAGGTGCGTCATGAAAACTCTGCCTCTCAATAAAGTGGTTAGAGCAATGAGCCTGCCCCCTGCTTTCTTTACCCTTCCTGTTTCCCTAATGGTATGCATTGTACAAGACAGTATTATTGCTTAATTCATAATATGTACTTGCTTAATGACAGCAGCTCTCACCTCAAGTCCATACCTTTGAGACCAACCTGCTTTTAAAGAATGCACAGCATATTGGAAGGGACTCACAAGAATGATCCAATTAAACTCCTGGACCACAGGACAACCCAAATTTAGTCAGGTTCCTATAGTCTGATGTTGCATACAAATAGAAAGAAAGGTCTTATAAAATCAGGCCTTACTCTGCTAAATTACCAGCTGGCCTGTTACTTCTTCTAAGTGCAGCCAGCTAACTTCCCATGTGAAAAACCATAAGAATGAAAGCAGTTAATACAACAAGCTATTCTGGTAAGAAAACTGTTTGCACCTGTAATAAACAAGAAATCTATTCCATGGGAATCAGCGAACAAAATACATAAACTATGTTGTCTTATATACCAAGAGTTCTATTATCATTATAGTGCAAGGATTCCATATCACCAGAGCTTCATATCTCCTCAATGTTTCTCACAGTCAGCTCCTCTAAGCACTACCTGTTCCTGGTCCTTGCAGTAATTACCATCTGACTTGAAATCTCACCAATCCACTCTTTTATACCACTGCTCTTATTGGCTACAGGTGTGGCCTGTTAAGATCAGGCCTGCTCCTAATCTTTAGTAATTGGTCCAGCTACAACTCACTGGGGGATAAGATTACATTCTATACCACCTTCATTTACCCAATACTGTATCCCCCTACAAACTAACAAAATGTAGAGAGATTTGACAGAGGTACACCCTGGCCATTCACCAGCCAATGAACTGAGTGTCATTGCTAACCAGCTAGGTCTAACAGTGCCTTCTGATATTTCCTATAAATAGGAAACTTGTGAATAAAGAAAGGGATTTTTCTGCAAGAATAAACTGAGTCTCAGCTGCTTTATTGCAAAAGTCTGAACTACTGGTAGATTGTCAGGCAGTGACTGGCTGGCTGAAGGGATGTCAGGCCAGACAGGGGCTGTGGGTACCTGAAAGGTAACCACAGATATCTGGCACTTGGGGAAATGCTGCTGGGAGGCCTGGGTACCTGTAATTACTGTTTGTACTACTGTGCTTGCTTATGCCAAGCACTTTCTTATCTAAAATAACAGCTCTGCCATGGCACAGCATAGAGCAGAGAGATTAGGCAAACAGTGGATTGAAATAGAAATGTTTATTAAGAATGAATAAAAATTGCTTCTCAGTAAGTTTTGCTAAACTCATTGGAAATCATGTATTCTATGAGAAGATGAGTAAGACTACAAAAGAACCAAATCTATCACATGGACAATGTTTTCACATTTTCCAGTCCAAGCAGGCAAATACTAAACTGAGTGGACATGACTGAAGGAATTCTTTATGCATGTAAAGTGGTTTATAGTAACACAATAACAGTAAAAACAAAATGGTGCTTTTGAAGAACTGGTGGTTTGTGATCATAGAAATGGAAGTCACTGAATTAAAATGCTTCATCTGAATTTGTTCCTGGGATGATATTAACACTTTGTAGAGGTTTAGTGTTGCATCACTATGACTACACTAATTTCTGCCTTCCCTGGCTTCTGTGCAAACCCTTGAGATATTTCACATCTAAATCATAGAGGATTTCTTCTGGAATGAAGAGAAAAGGTGTGAATGGGCAACAAATGTGTTTTAATTTTCATGAAGATCCTTGTAACAAAAGCAGTCTCAGAAGACACAAAAAAAATTTGAAAACATGCCATCTAAAGATAATTCTGCCTACAGTGTATGTCTTTCTGAATGGTCATATATATATTTTAAATTATTTTTTGTTTTGTCCCTCTCATAAGAGGTACAGTTTGCAGACTTTTTCTGTTTCTAACCTGCCAAGTTATTTTTACTCTTGAAGTTTGTACAGTAGAGTATATCACTGATCTCTGTCCCTGCATCTTGTAATGAAGGGTGCAAATCCCCAAATGACCTGGGGAAATCAGAGGGAAAAGTATTTTACTTTTAAATCTCTCACTAGTCCTTGAAATCTTGGAGTTACGACCTGGCAGACATTTTGGGGACTGCTTCATGTGAAAATGGAAGTTGAAGCCTTCTAGTTTTCTACTATTTTCACCCACCTAAGGAATACCCAGGAATCCCAGCCTCAGTAGTCAGAGGAGTTTATTATCTCCCTCTTCCATGGGTGAGCGACATCCTGGGAGCAAACAAGAAGTCAGCAGATGAGACTGTGTCTCAGGGGATGGGTGCCAGGGAACTTCAGGGGCGCTGTCATTACATGTATAGATCTTTCTAGCACATACCAGAGGCCAGAGTCTGGCAATCTGCCCCACAGCCTCAGGCAAGCCTACTGTTTCAGCAGACACTGGCTTAGAGTTAAGTGCCTGGATCAAAACTCCCTCCTTATTCCCATCATGTTGATGGCTTACTGCTTCTCTACCACAGCAAATCATGAAACAACCTGAGCCTACCTACTGCATATGACAGTAAAGTAACAAGGCAGAACTTGAAGAAAATGCCATTTCTGTTCTTCCTTGCTACCTGCTGTCAGGAAGGAGCTAGCAGGTAAGCAGCTTTTAATTTAATTTCACTCTGAGTCAAGGTGGACTAATCTGCATATAAATGTAATAATGTATGTCCTTGATCCCTCCCTCACAGACACAGAACACAGCCTAGAATGTGACTCTTAGTATCCAGGGAGAATAAAATTACCCTGCCCAAGGTTGGAGAGAAATATGTGCCTAGTGAAAAGAGCAGGGTACACTGGAGCACTGCACAGCTACTGTCCCCTAAACCTATATCCACATCCTTAGTATCTGTGCGTCCAACAGTGGCACACTGTATTTACAGATTGCCAATGAAATCCAGTTTAAGGGAGGGTAAAAATGATTGCTCCAAGTGTTATGACAGGAATGGCTCCCATGCTCTATTAGAGGTAAGTATAGTGGGAATTCTTCCAAGTAAAAATGAAAACAAGAAAGTACCTTCAAAGCTGTTTCATTTTTTTTATAAGCATATTGATGGAGTTTTTGGATCATCAGCAAAACACAAACAAAAATAATTAATTTTATTATTTTTAATTTTTTAAATTACCTCATTGTATTTTTTTTTAGGAAAACAGCTGCTGGAATTTCCTAAACACAAATTTCTTTGGGGAGAAAAACAAATCATAAGCCAGAGGTTTCTGCAGGGGATTTCTGACTGGAAAACTGTGTTTATTAATTATATGTAAATTTCATAATGTTTTGATGTCTTGATCTAGCAATCTGTAGAACTCACACTGAAAAATCAAATGTGAGAAAGGCTTAATTTGGGAGAAAGTGAAGAGACTTTGCTGAATAGATTATATTTACTTATTTAAACATTCATATCACTCAGGCTGGGGGTCTTAAAATATAAATTACGTGGCTGAATTAACCTGCTATTGACTCAGTGTCAGCACTCATGTTTGAGAAGAGTAGCTTTTCTCTGGCTGTAGCTAAGTGCCTCTGAAAATAAAAAACCCACAAAAGTCCTCCTCTTCAGAATAATTCTCCCTTCCTCCCTCTCAATTATCCACCTTGTCATAAAAGCTCATGTTCCTGACCTGTCCTGCATTGCAAGTGGCATCTGCTCCTGACTAATCCCAGACTAAGCCTCTCCTTACTTTTGGCCACATTTGTGACCCACTCTGGAGGTGTAAATGCTGCAGCAGTCACGGCTGCTCATGCTGCTGGCTACCCCAGCTCCTGGCTTCCTGGGACTTCATCCATGCAATGTCAAAAAAGTGTGTGAAAAATATCTGCAAACAGAAACTTATGCTGGGAAAGTCGGTCAAATGAGAGCTGATAGGCTCCACTGCAGGAAAAAAGATACTTCACCAGTGTCTCTGGTGAAAGCTGAAAAGAGTTATGCTCTGTTTTGGAGTCAAACTTAATCCATTTACAAAAAATTGAAAGTTTCATTCAATATATGTCCAAAATTAATGTTGTTGGTATTCTTTCTCCCATTAAAATATGGGACCAAATCTGGGGAAAGACATCTGGGAGAGTCAAAAGGAAGGCGCCATTTATCCTCTTCTGCCTTGCCTATTACCACACCAGACTCAGAGGTTCTTCACTGTCTGTGTAATGTGTCACTCTTTGTCCTACTTTCAGCTAACCCACTGGCACAGCAAAAGTGCAAACTCTGCTGCTTGTCCCTGAGGCTGTTCCAAATGAAACCAGCTGATTTACTCTCGAGGCCAAGATCCCTGCTCCTGTACCCAGCTGGCCTTACTGTGATTGTGTGCCCAAAGGGGTGGCTTCAGAAAAGTCCTGTGAAAGACTGGATAATTTTCCATCTAGTTCAACAGATTTGCTAAAGCCGACACTTTGGTCTAGGCTTCAAACATAGTATTACTAATATCTAACACTCAATAATGTCAATTACAACCAAAACCTCTTTGGAAGGGGGATCCACGTTCAGTATTTGCCCATGCTAAATTGACAAACACAAAACCCCATCTATTTTTCTGAAGGAAGAAGATTAGGTAAGCCCTTCGTCCTTGCTTTAGGTCAATCTGCAACTTATTCCTGTTCATGCCCAGAAGTAAAAAACTCAAGAAATCTATCTTCATTTTTCTTTTTTTGCCATTGCTGTGCACGCCATCAGGCAGCTAAATTAATTCACAGCTCTCATCCTAGTGTATACTGATCTAGAAATAAACTGTGCCTTTTATTATATTTATTTATTTCCTGAGTGAAACTTAACCTTAACTGTGTTTGAGTGAAGCCTTTCATAGACCTAACCACCATGCTGCTGTTGTCAGCCCACATCCTAATTCTGGGGGTTTATCTGACACAGTTTAAAGCTATCTCATAAATCTATGCCTTTAGCCTCAACCCCAATTCTGAAGCCAAAAGGTGGTTCTTGTCAGAGGCTCTTGTCACCACTCATTTGCTGCAGGACCCTGAGCACACTGATAGTCCTTAAAGCTCTGACCAGCCCACCCTGGGGCCTTTGGCCAGCCCATCACCCTGGCCCAGGATCCCATTTCAGTCCAAGGGGGCTGTCAGGCCCTGCACAATGAATTCACAGAAATTCCACGCTCCAGCTTAGCCAAGGCCATGCCAATGTCTGCTCATGGACCCTGTTGATTGATACTCCATCCTACAAAGGACTTCCCAGCATGATTTTGATCCTGCTCAATAACCGCGGTGCTGTGTCTGACCCTTCCTACCCCCATCAGACAAGGTCAGAACCCTGACCAGCAAACTGACCTCCCATGAATTTGTCTGATCTGGACCCCGAATCTGGCTGTCACTGCTTGGAAAAGCCCTTGCTCTGACAGTTCTATCACTTCCCTTGACTCCTGATTCTGCATCCCTTGGGGCAGTTTTTATCCAAGCTCTACCAGTCCAATAAAATTTACCATGATATTTAATTCACTTCATGTTCATTTAATTCCTTACCTCTGCCCCAGACACTACTGTGTCTCAACAAACCATATCCATTTGTAGAGTCACATTTGTCATCCCTATGGAGCGCTGTCATTCATCAACCATCTTCTCACTGCTTACTCTCTGAGAATTTTACACTAACTCTGATTCTAGTAATAATTATAATACAGCCTCAAACCAACACAGGTTCTTTGTCCATAGTAGCAGCAGCATTCACTTAACCTCAAACACCCTTCAGACACCTCTAATAAACCAGGTCTGGTTACTTTAGGCTCAAACTCCAGTCCTAGATCTGATTGTGTCCCACATTTAAGTGCTTGTGTGAATTAAAAGGTAAAATTCTAGGCACACAGTTATTGAAATAGAAATGTTTAGCATGTAAAGGAAAGCAGATGGGAAGGAAATAATGAATGTGTTCAGATCAAAACCATAGGAGCATCAGATGCTCTACCAGTTGCTGGAATGTTGACCTTAATAGAGCCATGACAACTCTCACAAGCTGAGCTCTGCACCACAGGGCAGGCAGAGTCATAATGGCTTTAAACTGTATGTTTTCCACTTCTCCCTAATGCAGGCTACAGCTATGTCAGATGTACATAAATTGCTCAGAATGAAGAATTAGAATGAAAAAGAATATTGCATTGGAGAGGGAAAAAAGGATAATAAGAATTACAAGCATGTATTTGCTTTGATAGAGTAGAATAAAAACTAATATTTCGTACAAATGTATTATAATTTTTGCCTAATTCCCCAGTAACAGACCATCTAGAAAATGGTCTGGCATTTTCTAACATCTCACAGAGAGCATTACTTTAAAACTTTCACCATAAACTGGAAAATCCAACATATTTTGATAATAACAGATGGTTATGAAGTGAATATGGAGCTGTATGTCACTCCTGGGGCTTTATGGCTATTCAGAAGTCACTTGAATTATATGCTTATGGTTAATAACATCAGCAGAGCCACTCCAGTTAATTACAGCACTATAGTTACTCCATGCTTCTCTATTATACTTTAAGTTGCAGTAAGAAAAGGGCAACCATATAATCCCTCCAAAGACATTGTACTGCCCTCGTTAAAAAGACTGGAAAAGCTTCATAGCTGCAGACAAAATGTAAACCCCAGTATGGAACAAGAGATGCTCTTTAATGTCTCTTGAACAGAGCAGCAGAATTGACAGTAATTCCAGCCTGGCCAGATAGCAAACATTGTATTGCTTCTCATCGTGGGCTAATAAAATGGAATGTTCCCTCTTGCCTAGAGAAGGAGGGAGGAAATGGGAGGTGTAATGAGTATGCAGAAAGGATTCTCAGGAAGCTTTGAGCTGCCTCCAGTTTAATTTCACTTTTGTTCCTGATTTCATCTCATTCTCTACATTTTTGTCCCTTTTCATTTCATTTTGAAGGACAGGAAACACATAAACAAAGCCAAATGCACAAGAATGCTTTGTGTATGAAATAATTCAGACAAGACAAAATAAAGCTATTTCACCAAGAAAATCTTAAGGATTTTTTAAGATATCTTTTTGCCAGTAAGGCTGTAAATTATTGAGTTAGATTTTTCATTAAAACTAAAAGGGCAAACTCTTCAAAGTACACTTCAATTCAGATGAAATAAACGCCATGACTAAAAATGGAATTGATAGCCTCCAAAAAACCAGTTCTTAACATATTTTTCCAGTCCTATTGGCTCAATACACACTGTAGACAATGGACCAGCAGGAGTTTTCCTATTCTGTCCCTTGCCCACCTCTACACCCTTTGTTTAGGCTCCACACTCAGGAGATGGAGAACGACAGAACCACATTATCTGTGGGTCAGGGATAAGGGGAGGGGGATTTGTCTGTGGATTAATCTAGGAGATATTATTGAAGCACGTATCAGTGAAATTTCTATTAAGCAATATTCTGAAATCTGTGCTCTAGCCCAGCGTGAGCCAAGCTTCCTCTGGATACAGTGACTCTGTGATGAGGAGCCTGTTCTCACCTGCTTTGCCACTCTTACAGGGTGGTAAAAGCTGCACTCTCACTCTTGGCTCTCCCTTCACATGCCAAGCTGTGTGCTTGAAGTGTTTTAGTTATTTCAGAACAAATTCTGGGAAATAATGCCATCTTTCCATATAGTAGCACTGGCCTTTTTGCAG